CTGGAGCAGAGTGCGTGGATCCGGCGCGCGATAGTGCGCGCGGACCTTCCGCATTCCGGGGTTGAGTGTGTGGGGAGGAGGGGGGAGCTGCTTGCGGAGCTCCCGTCGGATTGGGCACGGTATTTCGTGCGGGGGCACCATCGGGAGATGGTGGTTGTCCCGCAGAACCAGCCGCGGGGCCGGGCGGTGCGTTGGCAGCGCTCGGACCCGCCGTTCGTGGGGAACCGGGTTGACTGACAGGTCGCCCATGGCGACCATTGTTCCCGGAAGGCTGGGTGGGATCCATTTGGGGACGCTGTCGTAAGGCGTCCGATGTTCTGATGACGTGGTGACGTCGAGCAACTTGATGCTGTGAACGAAAGTTCGTTCGTCGCGGCTAGAGTAAAAAAGTGTAAGTGTACGCGAGTCCCACGACTCCCCGAATCCCGCAAGTACTCTGGACCGGGCTTGATTGCTCGGTGTACTCGCTGGATGGTGGGGGGTGGTAGAACTCTGCCCCCACCAGGCGCCCGAGGCCCGAACCTTCGGGCGCCGTACGCTTACGTACGATACATGAATGGCGGTATCTAATCTACGGGCGCCTAGATGCGCTAGTTCTCCGCGATTCCCGGAGAACACCTTCTCCTACTGAAGTGGACGTTCCCGTCCAGGCACTATGGAGTGCCGGTAGTAAGTAAGAACCGTCGGGTTCTTACACATATACTAAACCTTGTCCTGACACAAATTTCTCGCTCATGGCTTTGGCGCCTGGTAGGTCCTCGTGATTAGGTATGTACTCCCTCAAGCCAACGTCATCCCACGTGCTCGCTTATGGCCTTCAGTGTTTTCGAAACCTTACATACAGCCCTTTGGATCCTCGTCGGGTGAGCCCATTCGTGCAAAACCGTAGACACACATTTCCAACACCACTTTAGCTACGAGTACGGTATTACGCACTACTTCGATTTCCCCAACCTAGTCAGTAATCACTGGTGAGCTATACATACTGGGACAAACCCCGCCCTTCACACTCACGCACCTGTTACTTGTAGGTACACCACTGTAAGTCTGCATGCACTTCAATATGCAGAATGATGCGCTAACACGCACTCACCACACGAAGCTCACGATTCTAGTTGCGGTGAGTAGTCTCTTCTCTTGCGCTGACGTTTGTTGACCGAATCCTTCTCGGACGTTAGGAACTCACCGGCCTTACGAATCCAATGTGAGTGAAAGTGCAGCTTTACTGAATACTGACTTGAGATGTGCTGCTAGCTTCTATGCGCGACAAGTCTACTTCGGTAAGCCCTTGCGCGAGTGTCACTACTGACACAGATAGTAACAGCGCACGTACTTCCCAGCCGCACCCAGGTATAGATGGATTGTGGCACTTGCCGTACGTCCATAATTGTGACCTTGATGCACTCCCGACTCACATTCTCTGTAGGTTATCGCCATGTTCGGCGGCCTAGGTAAGATACCTCCATACTGCGGGATTCCAGAAGCGCTTACAACGATACGCCACGTTAGGCTTCAGTATTGGTAAGGGTTCGGCTCGCCTAAGTACTGTCCTAGATATTGCGAATTTGACAATCGCCATCGCAGCTGCTACTGTCAAAGGGTGCATATCGCAGCGTCGTTAGCGACATGTATTACCAACACCTCCCTGGTCATAGGCTCCAGTCGCCGAGCTTGGACGATTTTGCCACATTCAATGTTCGTTCATTACGAAAATCGTTGCACGATGGTACTGATAGCATGACGTCTAGTGGATAGTATGTTCCGCATACGGCTGCACAGTATTTGCCGAGATCCTCTTGGCCTCAACACTGATCTGGTGGCTCCTCCTCAGCAAATCGGGATTCGCGCGGTTACTTCCCATTCCGCTCTAGTACCAACCATTGCAGGTGCTGACATACTCGCGATGTAGGACCAACTCCGTCGTGTCCACGCTTGTCACCTACGTGATACACACTGGTGAGGCATATACTCTCTCGGAAGAATCAAGTCTCACGTCTGTTTCGATATAGGTCTACTTAATACGTACGTGCCATGTGCCGCGCAACATTGTGCTGACGATTGGACCCCTTGTCAGGATATTTGGCCTTTTGGTATTTGTATTTGTACGCTCTCTGCTCCAATTCAGGACATGTTCTAAAGTCGCCGCGCGTGCTTACCATACCCGGCAGGCATTGGTGTACCCACGCAAGTTGATCTACACCGGCATCAGTATCGTCGGTATCAAGTGTAAGTTTTTATAAGATGAAGCATAGCCAATCCCATGCTAACATCACACTAGTGTGCTCCATCTCGGTTCTTGCCGTGTACGTCTCTCACTATAGCTCGCCCTCCGTAGGGAGATGAGCATGCTCATTTGAAGCAGACTCAACTCTCGAGCGAGCCTCTCCGCACTGATGCTACAGCAAACCACAACCACGAACCACGAACGCGACCACCTCTGAGCTCGCATTTCCTTCGCGTAACTCAGCCTTGACACGTACCGTGCGTGATATCGAGCGTGATGGCACTCTGCAGGTAATGTGGCAAGCTCTCCGACACAAAGTGCTCGTTAATGCGCTTTCCTCTTAGATCTCTTCACCGTTGTCCAGCGGCGCCCGCGATCCGACGCACATTCGCTCCCAGAGCGACTTATTCGCCAGCCGCGAAGAATTAGAGACGACGCAAACCGTCTCGAGGAAGATCACCATCGTATGATCTGCTAGAATTGTATCTCATTTTCTCGGTAAGCATACTCGTATTGGTAGAATCTGTGCCGTCCCTGACGCAGAAGCCAGCCACGGCCTTTCTTGCTTTTAGATGCCGCCTCCCCCTACTGTATCCATAGTGCCTATAGAATGTCTCTCCGTGCTTTCGACCAAATTGGACATGAAGGACGACAACCTCCGGACCCGATCCTAGCAAAGAACCGATGTCAGCGACGTTAGAGCGGTATCTCCACTGTAGCTTCAACATTCAAGTCATGCCAGGCTCCAACCCACAATAGTAGTTCAATCGCCTTTTCACGCCGATGTCGATTGCAAGTAGACAGGTGAAGGATGTGCGGATCCCCTTTGGCACACGCTGATCTCTTCGAGAACAGGGAAGGGGTGTGATGGGTCTGACAGCGTGGACACAGGTGCCATACTTAACAGGTGGGAAGTCCTTGACTCCCCTGGGTTATCTAGGCACTGCCTCGAGCATGGCTCGAAGTCGATCTCACTAAGACCGCCGTCGCCGCCAAGGTGTCAGCTTTCAAACCCAGATCGAGCGTGCTGCGTGCTCCTAACGCGCGACAGATTGCAAGCAACGTGAGTCTATTCCCATTAGCTGCGACATAATGTCGAATTTCTTGAGCTCTGAATATATACCCTCGCCCAGCCAATTACTTGAATGTGTACATTCACGGCCCAAGCTCGATCTGACTCGCCCAAGCGTGCGCGACGCGAAGTCACTGCGCCGCATACACAAGGGTTAGTCGATGAGGGGTATATCTGAGGCCATGCACTCTCGCTTCTTGCATCTGCTTCTTAGCATATGGCAGATGCGAACTCTCCACAGACCGAAGAAGGCACATAATGGCTTTGCTATAGATGATTGGAGTAGGGCCTTATAACACGCCAGCCTCTCTCCGCCCTCGAGGACGCCACTCCCACCATGGCGCCCTCTCCCAGCCTGAACGGCCTATCCGTGGATGCAGCCCTGGGGCTTCCTGGGTTACCATCACTCGACAGCACTTTCGGCGCTATGCTTTTGGGCAGTATCTTCGGTGTCATGCGAGTACTACACAGTATACCATCCGCGTTTCGTACTGATATTATACTACAGGCTGTATGCCTTGATGCTCCACCAAACATATCAGTACTTCCGGACATATCCCGGCGACAGATTGGCACTGAAGAGCCTGGTGAGCTTTTGTCCACATCCACTTGTTCGCGCTCTGATAATATGGTGCACCAACTTTAGGTCCTCGCTATCGTGTAAGATTACGAAACTGTCAGCCCATACTTACGTCGATACACTGACCCTTGTTTCAGTTTCATGGAGACACTCCATACAGTCCTATGGATCATCATCTGGTCAGTCCTGCGAAAGGCTGAACGTCTCCGTTCATCGCTGACCATATCCTGACAGCTATGAATATCTCGTTGTGAACTACTTCAACCTTCTCAATGTCGTCGAAACTCACTGGTGAGTTATGCACAATGAGCTAAGCCAGTGACTCCATGCCTGAATCCTGTCTTCTCAGGTATATCAAGGTACGACCAATTTTAGTCACTCTCACATCAGTTCTGAGCGTGTTTTGACACTGGAACGATAGCTCTCGATACCGCTCACTGTACGCCTTTGGGATTACAGTCTGTGGTTCGTGCTCATGTTAGGCTCGGGATTACTAGGCCATCACCGGCACGACCAGCCAAATGTAGGAGGCCGCCGCTGCTTGAACAATATCTTGTGCTCACGAAAGCACTCCACCCCGGCCTTCGTTTACAGCTTCTATGCGGGCCGACTGTACTATAGTACGTCGCTTATGTCTGTCGTAGGATCACAGCAGTTGAGATAGGCAATGTTGTGCAGTTGGCCCCCAGTTGAAATACAGGCTTCTTGTTGCTGTAGCGGTAAGTCGCGATCTCCCTCAGAATTTGGCTCTTCTGATTCCTCACTGCTATTTCATTACGCTCGGAACATTAGGCTTTTGTCATGTTCCTTGCTCTAGGTATTTTCACTAGATCACTCGCTAAACCAAATCTTCTGACCCGTCGGTCGCTGCATTTAGGATGGGACTTCGGTCAGGACTCTCTATATTTACCTCGTCCGGCTCGAAGACGCTGATCATCACATTCGATGCAGCTGCCACTGTCAAAATGTACGCTGAATCATACTCGAAGAAAGGTCCTTCCTAAGCTGACGGCAACCCTCCGTCTGTGCAGCTTCCGTGCCAAGACCATATTCGAATTCTCGCAGTGGACTGTGAGTGCCGCATCCGCCAGCAGATGGAAATAACCCCCGATTAACCTATGCTTTTCCTCTCACGCAGTGGATTGTCGCAGTTGCGTACGGTTTCGCCGTGCTGTACGACCTCATCACCGTCGTGGCCCTCATAACTGTACTGCGACGCAGCCGCACGGGCATGAAGCGGTACATTCCACACTTCCCTTTTAAGGAGAAGGTATCCTGACACTCTGTTCTCGGCACTCAGGACCGACACTGTCGTCGATACGCTAGTTCTGTACGCGGTGAACACCGGTATGTCACGTTGCCGCTCACATTTGTATCGGCAGCTCTAACTTAACCACTTAACCACAGGGCTGCTCACTACGTAAGTGCGAAACACCACAGTGTTGCTAGTAATAGCAGGCTGAGACCTGATACTCTGCAGCATCATTGGCTCGCTCGTGTTCATCTTTGTATGTCGCCTGCCTATATCGATAGTAAGCTCGCAGCTGATCTGGATGCGACAGGCATTGGTGTACCCGGACAACTTGATATACGCCGGTTTAAGCATCCCTGGAGTCAAGCGTATGCTATCTATATCATGCTATTCTACGTCTACTGACGATACCTCAGTTTACTCCAACTCTGTGTTGGCCATGTAAGCTCGACGTGTCTGCTTCCTCTCTCGCACTGACCCACGATCTCGCTCACACTTGCAACAGGCTCAACTCGCGTCGCTCCCTGTCCGAGCGCATGATGCAAGGCTTCGAGGCAGGCTCACACGGCCAGGGGCGTGGTCAGCGCTCGCAAGCGCCTCACACGGTCCTTGAGACATGGAACGTCCGACAGGTGCCACTTCCTTCTGACCATCTCCCTGTCCCCGTCCTGGCGCTCAATGCGCTCACGATAGGTTCCGGTTTCGTTGCCGGTGACTATGGACTTGACAAGGAGCTTAAGAACCCATTCCGACACGGCCGATGAGCCGACAAACGGCGAAGACGCTGATGCATCGAAGGCCACCCTCGCAGACGTCCAAGCAAAGAAGGCCGATCTCGCGTACGTCGACACACCTGTGGATCATGCGGTCCCCAAAGACACTGCTGTAACGGTCTGAGGAATGGACGTGTTCATGGATGGCTCAAACGGCTGGGTGTATATAAGCACATCCCCTGACGTCGTGTAGACAGCTCAGCTATAACAAAGCCTTAGCCAACGCCCCATCCTGCCACTGAGACCGACTAACATATCCGCATCCCTGATGTAGTAGAGCACATTTCCTATCGTCTATGAGCCTATGATGTTGAGTTTCCCGCTGAAGTTACGGCAGGGTAAACACATCTTGTCACGATGCCCGAGGACGGATGGGTCGGGGACGGGAATGCCGCTCGGTCATACTACGCTTGCCCGCGGCTACGACCGATCCCGCTCGTAGGGAAGTTGTCGGGCGGAATCCCGCCCGACTCTCCCATCTACGAGACTCACTCCCCCAGGCCGGTCGGGGTATAAGAGCCGCGTCATGCGAGGCGTAAGTCCATCAACACACCCTCTTTGTCCTTTTCACTCCTCAAACAGCATTTACGATGGACCCCGGCTTTACTGCTGCTTTTGCGAACGATGCGCGCTTTCAGGCTGGGGTGTCGCTCAGTGCATCCACCGAAAACAACAAGTCCCCCATGGACCTTGCTCGCGAGCAGGCTAGAGGTCTTGTGGACGCGTCGAAGGTGTACCACGCAGCCAAGCTTCCTCCAGGTGATGTGCATATACCTTCTGGGGTATCCCTCCTCGCTGATATCGCGTCGCTTCTAGCTTCAGCTTACCAAGTTCGTGAGAAGACAATTGCCGTAGAAGGTGGCACACTACGCCTACGCTGCCTCACCCCGACAGACATCGAGGAAGACGCCTCTCTTCCCGTTCTCGTCTGGTTTCATAGCGGAGGTAAATACTGTAACTTTCAATGCAACCCGGAGGGTCACACGTCACACGGGGGTCCTCCGCCCATTTTTTGGCCGCCGTCACACGTCACCAAGGCCGTCCGGGGCTTTAGCGCCCGCCTCCGGCTGTCCTTTCCGACGCTAAAATACCCGTTTTGGAAGGTGCCTGGGCGCCTCCTTATCCCCGGTTTCGTTCCACCGTGTCACACGTCACCCCCCCCTCCGGGTTGCATTGAAAGCTACAGTAGCGCACAACCCCCTCATACTATGACACTTCATCGGACTTACAGATACTTGTCTTTCTAGGTTGGATTGTCGGAGACCTTGAGCAAGACGACAACCATCTGCGCAGCATTTGCGTCGAACTGCAGCTCTGCGTCGTGAACGTTGATTACAGGCTTGCTCCGGAGCACCCGTTCCCGACCAGCGTGAACGATGCATACAACGCCATGAAATGGGTAGGTGTCAGCCACTCCACTCATCCGCGAAGACGATTATGTCATCAGGCTCTAACATCTGTTTTTTCTTTTCCCAGGTGACGGAGAATGCGCAAAGCCTCCGTATTTCCCTTTCCAAGGGCTTCATCGTCGGCGGCGACTCCGCTGGCGCGAACATGGCCACGGTTTGTGCGCACCTTGCGCACGACGACCCGCTTTTCGAAGGCCGCCAGCCAACCGGTCAGCTTCTGCGCGAGCCGTCTGTCGTGCAAGAGGAGGTATACCCGGCCGAGTAAGTCCTGCACTAAGTTCGATGCTCCCTGGGTAGGAACTAACGGTTGGCGGGGTGATTTAGGTACAAGGCGGAGCTTCTCTCGATGGAGGAATTCAAGGACGGACCTCTCCTTACCCGGGAAGCCCTCAAGCAGTGTCGTGGTACGTCCTCCCGCTCTCCATATGTATAAATTCTCCAGATTTACGCTGACCTGATCACTCGCACCTCCGAACAGCCCTCCTTCAAGCAGCACCCGCCGATCCGCGCATCTCCCCACTGCTCTTCCCCTCCCACGCTGGCGTCCCTCGCGCGTTCATCACCTACAACGGCGCGGACCCGCTTCGCGACGATGGCCGCCTCTTCGCGCGCATGTTGCGCGAGGCCGGGGTGCCGACCTTGGAGATCATGTAAGTTTCCCAAACGTCCTGTCATGTATGCATATGCCAGGAGTATGACACTGACGCTGGATAAAGGTACCCTGGTGTGCCGCATGGCTTCTATTACTCGTTCCCGGACATCGCGCTGGGGAGAAAGTCGGACCAGGATATACGCGATGGACTGAGGTGGCTCCTGGCCGATGGAATGTCGGAGTAATGGGCAGGATAGGCACACGAGCACATGCAATGGAGTACGCACTTGCAAACGTCGCGTAGTGCGTGCACGCTCCGACCTGTATAATGCAATAGCTTCTCAGCTTTCGTTAGGTTGAGAAACCCATCGCAGGTGCGCGTTCGGTAAACCAAAAATGTAGAGCGAGATGTCTACCATAGTACGATCATCGAGCAGCGTCCGAGAGCACGATATGCACAAACACGAGCGAGCAGGTACGGTACGGTAGGATACGGTATGTAGGGATTACAGCACGACGGCGACGGGGACACGGCAGAGACAAAAGCAAGATAATAAAACTAGGCATAACGAAAACACCGACCTCGCCTCCCAGCGTCCGCTCACTGCGCGACCGCCCCGCTGTAGTACCGCCCGGTCTCCGTCGACCCGCTGTCCAGACTCTGCCGCGCAGCATACGGCACACTACCGCCGCCTCCACGGCCGCCTGCCCCAACGCCAGCGATCCCGCCCGACGCATTCCCGCCCTCGTACGCATACGGCGCGAGCCGCACGTTCTCGTCGTAGCTCTCGCGCGGCCGCGGCGGCTCCCCGCGCCAGCTGCCGCTCCGGGGCGCCGCGACGGCGGACGACGCGGAGGTGGACATGGGGTACACGGTGGGGCGCGGCGCGACGCCGAACGCCTCGCCAAAGTCCATCTTCGCGTGCGTCTTGCCCGTGGCGGAGTCCGTGACGTCGACGCGCGGGCCGTGCGTGCCGGGCTTGCCGCGCGCGTAGTCGACGAAGAAGCGGAGGGAGCCCGCGATCTCGTGTGCGAAGTCCGCTGTGGATGTGAATCGGGCGCGTCAGCAACGGCTTGGGTAAGGGGGGAGGGGGAAGGACGCACAGTAGTTGATGCTGTCCCAGAGGGGGCGCCAGATGCTGCTGCGCGGGCGGCCGGGGACGACGTACTCGCGCCACGAGTATGCGTATATCATGAACGCGGAGAAGAGCACCATCTCGATGCAGATCGCGAGTGCGTTCAGCCCGTCCGCGATGTTCGTCTCCGTCCAGTACTGCGTCGGCTTGATCACGCGGCCTTCGAGCGCGTCGAACTACACCGGGAGCACGTCAGCGGCGCGTCGGAAGCGGGAGAGGAGAGAAGCATACAACGAGGCCTTGGTAGAAGGTGAACATGACGATGAGCTTGATGGACAGGAACTTGGAAAGCGGCTTCCGGCCCTTCAGCTCATCCTTCGTCAGGCCGTAGAAGATGAGCAGGCCGTACAGCGCGATGCTGCGAGCCGGTAAGCACCAGTGTGCGACATATGCGGGAGGGCTACGTACGTGATGCTGACACCGTCGATGACTGTGATGTACGCGTGCGCGGTCTTGAAGCTCCATGGACCCGACTCGCACAGCACGCCGTAGTATTCACATACGATGCCGGCGATGGAGAGTACTACACAACAGGGTGAGGTTAGTTTTGACAGAGACATCATGTCTCATGAAGGGTGCGTACGTGGTCGTAGAATGACATATTGCAACACAGACCACTAGGAAAATGTCAGCAGGTACGCATTGAGCCGTGGTGGGTGAACGCACCTTCAATGTGTACATGAAGTACGCCTTAGTTGGTCGATACCTCCAGCAGCAGAACTACACGCATGGGTCAGCCCAGTCAGTGATAACGCTTTGGAATCGCTACTCACGGGCATGGGCAGTGCCTCTTTGTCCTTGCGAATGATAGCGTTCTCTACGTTGTGTTCTACCGCCGTTGCGGCGACGAATTCGATGAGGAGGAGGCTATTTACTTGTTCAGCAGAGGCTTCCGGCTTGAAGAGGGGGGAGATACGTACAGGAAAGCACTGAGGGTGACGGACTGGACGGTGGTAGGGTTAGCTAACGCTGAAGAGAATTATTCATGAAGGCGACGTGCAACAGTGTGAATATCTCTAATGCGGTCTCAAATGTGGCCATGATCGCAAACGCGCATTTCCGTACCGAACCGCTGGACGAAACCCACTATGCGGACAACATGCCTCACACAGACCGTACGCAGCCACCGCCCGGGACGGGTCTCCTGCAAATCCATGCCTCCGTCGGCGCACAAAGCCCACGTCCGCAAGCAGCGGGCGAGAAACCCCGGGATGCCAACAAAAGCAGGAATTGAGGCACGCCATCTCATCGCGGACTTGGACAGTTGATGACATTTGATGTCAATAATGCGGCACAGCTTTCGACAGCCCGGCGCGCAGCAGAATCTGACCATCTGTTCCAGGTCTTCGGTGGAACAGGTTCCGCGGAAGGCGGAGTCTGCGGTCCTGAACCACCAGATAGCTCGCACTGCTAGGCGTAGGCACTGTCCCACTTAAGTTGTGATACGCCCGCGGTCTGTGCACGTTGGATACCCCTGCCTGCGCAGAGTCACTGTGAAATCAGAGAGTGCTCACCACCCTACCCAGCGCGAAGAGTGTGCACAGCATAGTCGCAGATGCGCCCTCGTGTTACCGTTCGCGCCATCTTCGCCGAATCCATCGTCGCATTCGAGCTGTACGAAGTGCGCAATTTGGACGCGGCGGGATAAGCGACGGTGAGGTGAACCCGCCCGCACGCGCTCGTTTTTGATCTCTCAAAAACGCCGGTTCCCCGTTGTTCTGCGGAACACATCTCACCGACATACTCCGCAGAACAACTCGTCCGAAAGACTGAACTCTCTCTCCTCGCCGGAACGATTGGTGAACGGACCACATATCCGGAGCGCCGTAACCGGAGAGGCTGACGCTTACCTCGTATGCTGCGGAGGAAGGCCGTGAGACTCTGGAGCGAAGAGGGTATACCGCATGCCAAACAAACTCACCTGTCTCGATGAGATCATAGTACGTGTAGCTGCGGAAGTATCTGTAGGAGAAGAAGGAGATGATGGCGTAGACCGCAGGCATGTACAATATTCGGATACTGTCAAGGATCGGCACGTATGAGTGACACTTGGATGATGTTATGATGTCTGTGGCGGGGATTTACGCACATCTGTCGTTGCTCCCCGCGGTTGGTGTAGTGTCTGCCGTTTGCGGTTGGCAAGAGCATGATACAAGGTCGCGAATCGGGGACTTACGTGCTATGGAAGCCGACGTTGATGATTGTGAGGACGACAGTCTACCACGCTGCGAGTGAGCTCCACCAGCTGGGTTACGACGAATGAGGAACGTACCACAGCTGCGCAGACCCCCGCAATCAGCCATCCTACTCGATGCGCATCCCAGTCTATGCCATCCGAACTCCAGAATCCCGTTTGGTCGATCAGTTGCTGGTTGTCGGACGGACAGAGGGTGCTGTTCTTCTGGACCATGCCGAGCGCGGGCGAGTCGTGTATTTGCGTCGGAGACCAGCCGGTGAAGTATAGCCAGAGGGCGGGGAGGAGAAGGTGAGAGAAGAAAGCAAGAAAGAGTGACTATATGCGCCTGTGCCTCTGGCTCCGAGGAGGGAGGTGGCAGAAACAACAAGAAGGGCTGTGCCTTGCTCACTCCGCAGCGGCGCAACTCGTTCCAGCCGACCCGTTGCCGGTGAGCGCATCGGCGCCTATACGAGCGTTCCGGGCAGACCCGGCGCTTGTTCAATTTCACCCTCTCCTCCGTCTCCCATCTCTCGGTCTTTTCTCACTCAGATCCTGCTTGGGTACTCTGGCTTTGCTGCTTGTCCTTTCTAACGTGGGTTGCAAGCGTGCTGGAACATACTGGAGGGACCTTTAACTTCTGAACCGGTCACACTCGGAACTGCTCCTTCCGTTTGTCATACGATATGACTCTTCCGGTGCTCTGCAGTCCTGGTCATCATACACGCGACGGACATCCCGTATCCTGCTGGAGGGTCGGGGGGCCCTGCCCAATCACTCTGTTCACCAGATAGTCATCGCAATGCTGCAAAAGCACGGCTTTTTTGCTCGTAGACTCCGCGACTGCCTTGTATTCTCACAACCGTGCACGCCGGAAATCAGGACATGACGGCAACGCGACAAAAGATACGGAGAATCTCCAACCCCGAGTCCGACCGCCCGAAAACATGCCGAACGCGCCTTGCTGCTCGGAACGGGTGCCTGTGCCTCCGAATCTGTGGCAGCTGGCTTACGAGCCTAGGGAGAGCGCGCCCTGGTGAGCGGACTGACTCCCTAGAGTCGCGCCCGAACGGCTCACCTTGCTCATCATTTGTTGTAGGAACACAGACTCCACCGGAAGTCATCGTGATATTCCCTTGATCTATGGGTCTACGTTCGCGCCGGTTACAGTTTTCCCCGGATGGGTTGTGGCCAAGTAGCAACCAGTGAGTGACCATGCAATATTGACATACATTTCGAATGTTCCAAGATACACAAGCGAGCGACTTCCTATAGCATACAATCTCCCCCCGGTGCGTCCCGTCCCCCGCGCTCGACCCCCGACATAACCGGGAACAGCAACCCGGCTGTACGATCCCAGCACGGTCATCACCCTCTCCCCGGGACACGCACCATCGACATGTCCGCCCGCGGCACCAACGCCTGCGAGTAATTACCGCCGGAGTCCCGGCGCTGCCGCAGCGCCCTGGCAGTCAGCCTTCATCTGCAACGCTCACGCTCAAGCTGCTGGGGGCGATGCTCACCGGTACGCCCTGGGCCATGTGCGCTGCGCGCGGGCGAGCCGCTGACGGATTAGGAGGGACATAGCCTGAGCCATTCTGGTTGTTCCTAGGGGCTGCAGGCATAGTGTCAGCCGCAGCCTCGATATCGCGCCCACTGCGGTATGCATACCTTGCTGTGGCCTCCCATTACCCTGGGGGCGCTGGGGCGGCGCTCCCCCTCTATTGCCGTGGTTCATTCCACCACCACCGCCGGACCCGGCGGGTGGCCTTCCCTGTCCCTGGTGTCTTCGTTCAGATCTTCCCGTACAACGGCAAGGACGAGCCGATACGCACCTGGCCGCTTTGACCCTGCTGCGGTACACGGGGCTTTGGCGGCTGGGTGCGCGCCGTACCAGTCCTGGCAGTGCGCGTGTTAGAGTTCGAGTTGTTGTTCGAGTTGGACTTCGCGTTGGACTGCATGTTGGTGATGGAGTTCATGTCGACCGTCAGCGTGAACGTTGCATTCGTGTTCGCCGTCGACGTGGCGTTGGTGTTGCTGTTCGTGCGGTTGTTCGTCCTCCTCGCCGTCGTTGTCCTCGCTGCAGTCGTCCGAGTGGCCATCGTTGCGTCAGGGGTGGGATCGGGAGTGGGGTTGGGGAAGCAAAGGAGGCGGGTGGGGCGGAAGCAGCTTGAGTGTCCTCCCTCTGGTGGGGGGAGGTAAGGAAGGAGGGTAAGTGCGAGATGAGAGGGTTTTCAGGACGGTAGCCCGGTCGCTACCGCAGGTGTGCGGCACGAAGCGGGCTACCGCAGCACCATTGCTTCTACAGCTGCACGAACCTTGTCTTCACCACATGACGGGAAGAAGTCGTGCGTACGAAGGCACGGTGTGAAACCCCAGTCCAGACCCTTATCCAGCGTACGGATACCGCGGGTACGTGACGGTACTTCTGCAGCGGCGGAGGGGATATTAACTCGTAGATGTATGGGACTAAAGCCAGCGCTGATTGTGAGGCGACTATTGGATTCCAAAGGGCCTCTGACTGTACATGTGGTGGTACATAGCATACATAATACAGGATCGACGCGAATATATAACGTTGCTCTGCCGGGAGGGCCTGTCCCCGGTGCGACGCGAACGTGTCTCCTCCGTCAAGCCCCTTCACTTCGAGCCGCTCACCCGCTCCCGCTATCGGTATACCCATTCTGTAGGCCTTTAACGCAACGCCACGGAGAGCAGCGGGATCCCTAGGGCGTCGACACGCGTCTACGCCGCATCATCGCCTTCACCACCCCGCAGGACTTTGGCGATATCCGACTGTATGCCCAGGCTCCCCGTCATGTCGATTGTGACCGGTAACGAAATCGGAACCTGTAGAGAGAGGACTGTGTGAGACTCGTAGGACGTGGAAACGCTGCAAAATGTGGTACATGTCGGACGTTCCAGGTCTCGAGGGTTGGAGGGCGCGCCCAGTCCGAATCGTCCTCGAGGCCCTGTTTCATGCGCTCTGACAGGGCGCGGCGCGAGTTGAGCCTGTATCATTGGCAGAAGGGCGCGTCAATGCAAGAGCGAGGACGTGGCGATCGCGAGAGCTTACAAGGCTAACACGGAGTTGGAGTACACTGCGTACATCGTCAGTAGATGCGATAGAGAACGGGAAGTGGCAATATGCCAAGGACATACGCTTGACCCCCGGGATGCTGAGGGCGCCGTATATCAAGTTGTCTGGGTACGCCAGTGCCTTTTTCGTCCCTGATTAGCTGTGACCTGGTAAGTGTCGAGGTACACGTACGAAAGCGAAGACGAGCGAGCTGACGATGCTGCGAAACTGCAATATCAGCTCATCTTGCAGCACTGAAGTCCGTTCGCACATACGTAGTCAGCAGTCCTGTGGACAAGCCGTCAGGGTTGCGGTAGAACGCTAAGGAAGATACACGCACCAGTGTTCACCGTGTACAACACAAGTGTGTCTATGACCGTATCAGTCCTGTGTAATGAGATACGAGTGTCAGAAAGCTGCTGGCGCTCAAGAAAGTCGGGCTTAGTTACCGTTTCACGCCGGTACGGCTGCGACGCAGGACTACAATCAGGGCCGTAGCGTTGATGAGGTCACACAGGACGACCATGCCGTACGCGACAGAGATGATCCACTTCGTGAGGGTAGATGTAAGCTCAGAGGTGGGCTGTCAGAAAGCGGAGGTACGAACCGTCCAGTGAGAGAATTCGAAGATGGTCGCTGCATGAAACCTACATGCACAGGCGTTTCGTGTTAGCCGATGCAGGCTTGTAGCGGGGACATGACGTTGCGTACACTTTGACCGTGGCAGCTGCGTCGAAGCGAACGGTGAGTATATCTTTGAATCATAAGCAGTAAGGAGCTCGCACCGAAATCCCATCCTGGAAGAAGTGTTCTGATCAGTGATCGGGTTTGCTTTAGTGGTCGAACGAGCGTTCATACCCAGAGAAAGAAGCATGACCGTGACCTGGGATCGCGGGGCGCAATTAGTTACGGCGGATTCGCATTCACCAGTAATGCGACTCACCGCTGCTGCGACAATGGGTCTGTATTGGGGGCCGACTAGCAAGCGTCGCTTGCATCAGCCACTGCGGCTCCACACCGGCGCGGACGACGTACTGTAGTAGATCCGACCTGCGTAGAAACTGTGAATGGAGATTGAGTGCGTGGTTGAGCTCATGGCTATCGTATTAGCAAAGGAAACCGCCTACATTTGGCTGAACGTGCCAGTGATAGCCTAAATAGTCCCTGGCGTGAGCATGCGTCGTAGACTTGCGCATTTTAGAACTTACGGTCACTGGTATTGTGAGCTATGACGTCGCCGTCAACGCGGGCTCGGAATTGATACGAGAATAATCGTACCTTGATATACCTGAGGGCGTACAGTTTAGGAGTCACCTGAGTCCTTTGTTTAGCTGCGAAGTACTCGCCAGTGGGTTTCGATGAGATTGAAGGGATTGAAGTAATTGTTGATGAGATATTCGTAACTTTGTTGAACGGGAATTGATCAGCAGAACACGAATTTTATCAACAGTGCTCTCGAGGTTTACCAGATGATGATCCACAGGGCCGTATGGAATGTCTCCATAGCACTGATGGAAAGTCAGCGTGTCAGCGTACTTGATAATTGTCGCCTTCGAGATCTTACACGATAATGAAAACCTGTTGATAGACAAGGTGATGAGAGGGCGACTGAGGAAAGGGTTGTCCAGAGAGGCTCACCAAACCCTTAAGCGCCAGACTGTCGCCGGGATACATCCTGTAGTACCGGTACGTCTGGTGGAGCATCAATACATATAGCCTGTCGTTCAAAATCGATATCACGCGCAAACATCGAGTTACATCCAGTGCAATACTCACATGAATCCAAAGACGGAGCCTAGTAGGACGGCGCCGAGTGTGCTGGCAAGCGACGGCACCCCTGGAAGAGCCGGAAGCCCCACAAGTGCATCCATAGGCGAGCCGCTCAGGGTAGGGGAGGGAGCCATGCTGCAGGGACGCCTTCGAGAGAAAATAGTCGCTTTATCCATATATGCCCCCCCCCTTTCTCGGCAGCATTAATCATGCCACCTGCGCGGAAGTCCGCGTAAGAGCCATCGTAGAGACGTATTCGTCGTCTCGGTCACGTATAGGATCTGTCATGTCGCAAGAAAAAATAGAGCTTACAAGACGAACGAGTGGTAACAGATACCGCCTTCACCGTTCGCAGAATCTCTGTCGCACGGGTTTGTCAAGCAAGACGATCTGGACGCAGTCCCAAGAAAGCACGCACTGATACTAGGGCTATGCAGCATCGTCATAGCCGTCAAATAGTCTGTAATAATTATCAGCGAATGTCCCGCGTGAGAGCGAGCAACTGTCTAGCGTTGTGGGATGGACTCACGCTGTTGAGGCCCCAGGAACGATCACAGTAAGGGTTCATTGAGTTTTTAGGTTTCAAATCTGATGGCTCAACAGCCCTGACGGTCGGGATGGGATCGTTTGTCGTAGTCGTGGGGACGGGCGGGGCAATAACTGGATGGTCGGGAGCGTCGAGTCATACCGAACTCCCGACTCCGAGGTGACCGGGACGATTCAAATGCCCAAAACAGAAGCTGAAGATTTCATCTCAGTAGGAAGACTGCATTTGAGCATAGGAGCGAGACCCGTCACGGCCGCCATGGTCGTGGTAGAAGAGCAACGTAGGCTACAATTGAGTTGGATGACTCGGATGTGATGGCGTGTTATTTGTGAATGTTAGGATCAGAAGCTATCGCCTTCCCGATCGAGATCTTGCAGTCACCGGTCGATGACTCGTTCTGGCTGCGACCTGAAGTTGACTGTAATTACAATCCGTAACACATAAATATACAGGATACAAGTTCAGTTGGAGGTCTGTCAAGTTGGTGCAGCACGATCAGGCCCCCGGCTCTATCAAGCCCCCTCACTTCTGGCTACCCAACCCTGACCGTCCATGAGCATCCCCATACCTCCGACCTTTTCCGCAGTACCATGGGGCACAACATGATCCACAGGTACTTCGACGTGCGCGATCTCAGCCCGCTCCGCCTGGACGTCCGCGAGGCTTGCCTTTTCCACATCGACGGTTCTGCCACTGCTGGGCGGCTCGGCGCTGTCCGAATGTGTACCCAGGCTTCTCATCGAGTCCATAGTGACTGGCAACGTAACAGGCATCTTTCGAATCATCGCTCAGTAGGACGCGGAAGATGCAGTGGAGTGGTGAGAAATGGGCGCACCTGCCGAACGTTCCATGTCTCGAGGACGGTGTGGGGCGTCTGCGGGCGCCCGGCACGCCCTTCGTCGTGGGTGCCCGCTTCGAAGCCTTGCATCATGCGCTCGGAGAGGGAGCGACGCGAGTTGAGCCTGTTTGCGAGCGAGGAGACATATCAACACTGGACCAGGAGCGAGGGTGTGTTCACGTCGCGCTCACATGGCCAACACAGAGTTCGAATAGACTGTGGTATCGTCAGTAAACGTTGGGATGGTAAGGCGCAGGCGAAGCGACGTACGCTTGACACCGGGGATGCTGAGTCCGGCGTAAATTAAGTTATCCGGGTAAACTATCGCCTGTCGTATCCTTCTTAGCTGCAACCTTATGATATAGGGGGCCGAGGACTTACGAAGGCGAAGACGAGCGTGCCGAGGATACTGCAAATTCTTAGCTCTCATAGAAGTATCGAAGTATCGAAATCCGCGCTTACGTAGTGAGTAGTCCTATGGTGCAATTAGCGTTGTCGACGCAAGTGAAGGGGAGGAGTGGAAACATACCCGTGTTCACCGTATACATTATCAGCGCATCCACGACCGTGTCAGTCCTGCGCGGAGAGCCAGTGTCAGAATGTTGGTACCGCATGCAAAACAACGGGCTAGCGTACCGTTTCACGCCTGTGCGGCTGCGTCGCAATACGACTATGAGGGCCAATGCGGTTATGAGGTCGCACACCACCGCGAGGCCATATGCGACCGAGACGATCCACTGCACGGCGAGAGAGCAGAGAATGTTAGCACTGAATATGCCCGCCGAGGATGGATGCGGAACGCACAGTCCAATGGGAGAATTCGAAAATGGATGAAGCACGGAAGCTATGTATATGGGGATGAGATTAGCCACTGAGTATTTATCACAGACATATATGATCGCGTACACTTTGACGGTCGCAGCTATATCGACGTAGACCGTGAGTGTGTCTGGATAAAATGATACCGGAGCAGCTCTCACCGAAATCCCATCCTGAATGAAATGTGGTAATGAGTGCTCAGATTTGTCGTCGTGGGCGAGCGAGCAGACATACCTAGAGATAGGAACATGACAAAAACCTGATATTCCACACGAGGTAAGAAGGATAGATCGGAATGTCCGGGTTTTGATGAAGATGCGACCTACCGCTGCAGCGACAAGGAGCCTGTACTTCAACTGAGGACCGACTGGACCACGTTGCTTGTGTTCAGCCGCTGAAAGTCGGTTGCAGATAAGAACGACATACTGTAGTATACTCGGCCGGCATAGAAGCTACGAGTGGACATGAGCATACGACCCTCGTGCAGGCAGTGGCGGTCTCATACATTTGACTGAACATGCCGGTGATCGCCTATAGGTCGCTGACATGAGCGTGTCTTCTCTGTGTGCGTAGGAAAGAACTTACCGTCATCGGTATCGTGAGCTATCACATTAATTTCCGCCAACGTAAGCTCGGAATGACTACGAGAACGACGGAGCACGGTCGTACCTTGATGTACCTATGAGACAAATGGTTAGGCGTTCCGTCAACGCCTTTTCCAGTCACGCAGTGCGCACCAGTGGGTTTCGATCAGATTCAGAGGGTTGAAGTAGTTGACGACAAGATACTGATAGCTATTCGCGAGGATCAAATCAGGAAAATACGGCAACATTCTTTCGCGGTGCTTACCAGATGATGATCCACAAGACCGTATGGAAGGTCTCCATGAGGCTGAATAAAGGGTCAGTGGATCATCTTAGGTCTCATTTGACCATCTGTTCTCTTACACAATGGTGAGGATCTATCAGGGGGCTAGGTCATGAGCGGATCAACGAGCGACTACTCATCCACAAAAACTTGCCAGGAGTTTCAATGGCAGTCGGTCGCCAGGGTACATCCGAAAGTACCGGTACGTCTGATGGAGCATCAACGCATATAACCTGGAATTCAGGTTCAATATTTCGTGCAGGTGTAGAGTGCTCATTTACTCACATGAAACCAAAGATACTGCCGAGAAGGATGGCGCCGAGGGTACTATTGAGCGATGGCAGCCCTGGAAGCCCCAGGATTGCATCCATGGACAAGCCATGCAGGTCAGCGGTGGGAGCCATGATGTGGGCGATGCTCTCGATGACAGAGAGAAACTTCTGCTCTTAAGACCGCCCCCTTCCTTGGCAGGCGCGGTAATCGAATCACCTACGGAGAAGCCATTAGGTTCATCATGACACTACCTGTGAGGCGTGTTTACCCTCTTCGGACTGCGAATAGATCACATCTGCCATATGGAGAGAAGAAGCAGATGTAAGAAGCAAGCGAGGACAGCCTCCGGGGGTACCCCCTTCGTCTACCCTCTGCGTATACAACCACAGCAGATGAATAGTACCACGAGTCAAGCTTAATCTGAGAGTGGGCGCATTCTGTGACGTGTTTGGCTGGGCGAGATGATACTCAGTGTTATTTACTGTCAGAACTCAGAAACACAAGGGATACGCCTCAGCGTCAGAGAATAAACTCACGTCACTGTCCGAGATGCTTTCGGCGCCCGCAGTCACGGTTCGACGGGGTCAAGAGATGGCAATTTGGTGGCGTTACTGGCCCAAGGAGTCGATTCAGTAATGCACAGTACGGTACCTGAACGCCCAGGAGATCAAGGGCGGCCCGACTTCTAAGTTTGACGTCCGGGCCCACACGGCCACGACCTCAGGATCTGCTGAGCCCGAAGCTACGCCGACATATGCCGAGTCGTCGAGGTGGTGCATTGTCGAAGCGCAATGTTGCGGAACTGCTCCTGGAGCTGGTCCGAGGTGGGTCAGCGTACGAGAAGGATGATCCACACAGTGGCCCTCATCTCTCGACTTAGTGACTGCGATCCACGTCGACGATCGCAAGCAGCCTGAACTCCCATCACGCAGTGCCGGAGAGTATTCGAGTGCCGAAGCTGACTTGTTTTTCTAAGAAAGCTGGTGTTGTGAGACCCAGACCAGACAGGAGCATCCGAGTCAGAATGGCAGAACATCGGAAGTGCGAGCTGGTCGCGCCCGGCGGATTCCGGATGAAACGAAGGGTTGTTTGTTCGTATTAGGATCAGAAGCTGTCGGCCTCCCGATCGGGATCTTGCTAATACCGACATCTTCGGACGTTCCAGTGCGAGATGAGCCAGTTCTGACATGGAGAAAACACATGAGTGCGCAAGGCTCTGTATCTCGTATGGCCTCGGGCTCTACAAATACATATCTTATAGCATACTTAAGTAGCGCGAAAACATATCCTTTTATGTCAACAAATTCTCGTTCAATGTAGCACGAACATGTCCCCTCCATCACGCCCCTTTGGTTCCGGCCAGCAAACCCTCTCTATCTATCACGTCCATGCTTTTATCTTGGAAGTGGGGTCCTTTGAGACTGAAGCGTCAGCGTGCGGAAGGGGGCTCGGCGCTTTCCTCGTGGGTTCCCACACTTCTCGCAGAGTTCATCGTGTCTGGCCACGTAACGGAACCCTGTCAAAAAGGATTGAGTACGGGAATAACAAGCCGAAAAAATGCGTATCACCTGTCGGACGCTCCATGTCTCGAGCACAGTGTCCACGGATTGTAGGCGCGTGCCACGCTCCTGTTCCTGTGAGCAGGCCTCAAGGCCGCGCGTCATACGCTCTGACAGGGCGCGACGCGAGGTCAGTCTGTGTCGCGGGCGGGGGTATACGTCAGCATTAGAGAGGACCGGACCAGGGCATCGGCTCACGTGGCCAGCACAGAGTTGGAGTACACTGGTACATAACGTTATTACTGAATGTGCAGGTGGCGGGATATGGGTTGCGTACATTTGATTCCAGGGATGGTGAACCCTGCATAGATGGCGGTGTCTGGGGAGACCACGGCCTATGACATTCGTCTTAGCTGCAACCTTATGAGATAGATAATCTTAGGACTTACGAAGATGAAGGTGAGTAAACCGAAGATGCTGCAAAATTTCAGCTCAGATCTGGCTACGCTGCCCTGTCCTGGGGTCATGCTACACTTACGTGGTTAGCAGTCCTGCGATCGGTTCAGCGTCACCTAGTTTCGTGGTAGGAGGGAGCGTTAGACATACCGGTATTGATAGTGTACAGCATGAGCGCATCGATAACGGTATCAGTCCTTCCCGGCGATGCGTGCGTGTCAGAAATCTGGCCTGTAAAGATAGCACTGGTCGCACCGTTTCACGCCCGTGCGGCTACGTCGCAGTACGAAGATGAGGGCTAAGGTAGTAATCAGATCGCACAGCAAGCCGAGGCCGTACCCGACCGAGACCATCCACTGAGCGAAGAGAGACGGTCAGAGCATCGTGTCCGTCAGATGGATGAGGTCACGCACAGTCCAGTGTGACCAATCGAAGATGGTCGTGGCACGCCAGCTATAACGATATCGGTCAAGTGTTCAGTCGGCCGACGCAAGAACATGCTTGGAGGTCAATATCGCGTACAGTTCGACGGTGGCGGCTACGTACAAGCAAGCGTTGATGAGTGTTTCTATGCTATTTCATCATGAAAAGGGCTCACCGAAGCTCCATCCTGAGTGAAGTGTTCCAGTGAGTGACCGGACTGTCATCAATAGCGAGAGTAACTATACCGAGGTACAGCAGCATGACAAAGACCTATTATTCAGAATGCGGTAGGGATGATATTAGTATTTTTGGATTCTGATAGAAGACCCGACTTACCGCTGCGGCAACAAGGAGCCTGTACTTGGGCTGGGGGCCGACTGAACAGTGGTGCGTGTTATCAGTCACTAAGAACCAACAATAAGCATAGGCGACATACTATAGTAGACCCTGCCGGCGTAGAAGCTTCATATGCACGTTGAGCCTTTCGTGAGCAGAAAACCATCACGGCGCAGGTTCAATATCCTACCTCTGGCTGAACATCACCGTGATAGTCTAGCGACGTTAAAGAATGAGCGCCTCTCAACGACGTGTATGGCTGGGGACTCACCGTGACTGGTATCGAGAGCTATTAAATGGTCGATGCAAGCTCAGGCTTGAGATGCGCGCAGCGAGAGCGATACCATCGTACCTTGATTGTCCTATGGAGCGCGGCGGTATTCAGTCCTTTCATCAACGTCTTTGCCAGTCGCGCAGTACTCACCAATGGGTTCTGATGACGGCGAAGGGGTTGAGGAATTCGGTGACGAGATAGTGGTAACTGTTGAAGGGATGCGATGAGGAAGCCACGATCGCATTCAACCTTCCACATGACGTACGTGCTGAGGATCCATAGGACCGTATGGAATGTCTCCATAAGACTATGAGGTCAAGAGTCAGTGCATCGTGTTATGGCACATGCTATAACAGGACGTCGTCTTACACGATAACGAGGACCTGTTGGTGGTGCAGGTCATAAATCGGAATGTCAGCAAGTACTCAGCCATTCGCGAAGGCTCACCAAGCTCTTCAACACCCATCTGTCGTGGGGGTACATTCGATAATACCGGTACGTTTGGTGAAGCATCAACGCATAGAGCCTGCCACTCGACATGAGTATCGCGCGGGGAAGTCGACGGTACAATACTTACATGGAGCCGAATAAACAGCCAAAAAGAAGGGCAGCGAGTGAACTATCGTACGCCGAAAACGCTGTGAGTGTATCGGCAGGCAGATTGTTCAGGTTGAGAGAGGGTGCCATGATTGGGGCGAGGTGCTTGGTAACTGATTCATACTTGCTCCATAAGACCGTGTGTTCCTCAGGGGCGAATATCGAATCACCTATGGTTGAACTTTGGTGTTCTGTGTCACACTCCCTGCGAGACGCCTTTGCGGTCTTCGGTCTGTTGAAATACAACCGGAAGACCACGCCGTTGCGGTACATCGCTGGAGTTGACACCGCACCTCGCCAGACGTTTTTCAAAATAGCTCATAGGCTGCTGTACATAAAATCAAGATTGCAACTATAGCCACGGTTGATGCAAGGATGAGTCTCTGATGAGAAGATGTTGTCGAGAGTGTGCCTCACTAACCGTTCCTTCAGTTCTTCGTCGAATGCCCCACCAACTCGTACGCTCCGGAGCAACGGCAACCGCGGCCCACCCTCGACTGCTCCCGGTATACGCGGTATTGAGTTCCGCAGCCAAGCGCGCCCACTTCCGCGCTCCATCGCCGTCTTCGAGCGCACAACAGGCTTTGCAAAGCCGGACGGCGAACGCCTCCCAAACGGGCTCGTAGTAGAGCTCCTCGTTGTCGAACATATCCATGTACATCTTGTCGACGCGGTTGACGAAGTCGTCCAGGATACTCGGGGTTCGCGCCCAGAGCTCTAGAGCCGCATCGCGCGAGCCTACGTCCGAGTCGGCGCGGGCTATCATCGCACGTCGTGTTTCGCTTTGGGAGAGGGCGGGGCCGGTGAGGGCGCACGCCGTGCATGCACAGGTGAATCCATACGAAGAGAGTGCTTCCTGACGTTTGGCGCGAGGGAGGGCGGGGTCGATGTAAGAGATGAAGACTTGTGCGCCCGAAGGAATGGGCGAGAGGGCTCGGACTTCGAAAGTGAGGGTCGCCGGCTCGAAACGGTAGACGGCATTAGGAGAGCAACTGTGTGCATGTACGTTAGTTACCGATGGGTAGAAGTATTGGCATGATAGTTCAAGGAGGTCTTACCTATGGTTGATCCTAGAAATATCTACGCATACGGCGCCATACTGGTACACGCCGCCAGGGAGCTTGCCGATGTGAAGCGAATTGGTGTCAATGATAGATTTGGCGACAGAGGGATCTAGAGGATGGCAGTTCGCAAGGCTGAAGAATGCTGCACGCCTCTGCGGCGATAGAAGCTCAAGCGCATCCTCGAGCTCGGCGTAGTGACGACCGGAGCTAGCACGATACGGCAGAAGTTGCGGATAAATGAGGAGAGGTATTTCGCGGACCAGAACCTGGCCCCGTGTTATCGAAGACGTTGCGTACACGCCTAGACCACTTGTTCCAGCGTCCGATATGCGACACGAGAGCGTGCCAGTGTAGGTGTCCAGCGGATCTACGCCCCAAAGTAGTTGTTTTTCCTGGGCGTGAACTAGAGCGAGTGAAGTAACACTTCTTTCTTCTGAAATCCGGGTACATTCAGGTATGCTTACAACCTCAAAGCGATAATCCAGCGCAGTTTCAGCCGGGAACTTGGATGCCGTGTCGTCATAGTCATCCAAGAGACGAGGGTCCGGAATCGCTATAGCAGAGGGTCCACCGAGTGATTTTGTTGTCCCTTGGCTGAAGGTATCCAAAACAGCATTCATGAGAATGAGCAGGCCTAGGGTAGACGTCTGCGCCAAGGAATGGCCAATATTGACGGGAGGAGAGAGAAAGGATATCGGACCGGCGCTTGAGCCGCCACAACGCGTCAACAGCGCCAAATGCCGCGGCAAAGGCCGTGGTGGCTGAATCCAGCATTCCGCTCTTGCACTTGACCGCGTCGAAATGCTAGACACACAGACGAACCAGACGGGAACACACATTGTCATAGGTGAGCGTGACAGAAGACACTCCAATATACTCACAGCTCAATTTTCAGTGAAGGTATCAGTCTTCCAGAGTTCTGGGCTGCGCTACAAGATTTCTAGAAGACATCCGCTGAAGGCTGGCAATTGAAACGGTCTATGTCGGACCATGAAGACGACGCCCATACGGCAACAAATCCGAACATATTGGTCACCTCGCAATTCAAGACAGTATGGCAAGAGTACTACGAATCGGAGTCAGACTTGTGTGCCCGGACTCTCTCTACCCTGTTGGTCGTGAAGCCAGCAAGACCGAGACGCCTTTCAGTCTCGACTACAGAAGTGGCTACTCAAGAAGCGCGTCCGATTTCAGTCGCGGAGACATTGCCCAGCTCCAACGACACCGTCTTGAGCTTTTATACTCTAGCGGATGAGCAGTGGAACAGCTCGTCCGTTGACGTTGAGACGATCGTACAGATCGAGCTCCCTTCGCCATGTCCGGCGTACGAGTCTTGCGCCCCTCTTCAGCAGAACATCTTGCATGGAGACGATCCAAACTTTATGCCGTTTCTCCCATATGCCGATGAACCAACCTTTGACAGTGCAGACCACGCGCTCGAGTATAAGGCGCTGGCCTGGCAGGAAAATTACCGCGATCCAGATAGTGAGTCTCGACTCCATCGTCACGAAGCATTCAGATGGCTCACAAATTCTGCAGCATTAGAAATTGTACTGGAAACCGCACGCAGGTTACACTCGGTGCACGGGTTGTCTCCTACCCAAATCGACGACACCAATGTGCTTCCACTCACTCTGCGAACGACGTCGGCCTGGGGTGCACTCTGGACAGGACAGCATAGGTACTGGACGCTCCCTGTCCGAACGCAAACGCTGATCTGGGTTTAGTGACTCTATTTTGTGGCCTGGCTCGTCACGATTGTCATGTGCGCTGCCGGACATTCCTGCGCCCCGCGCAGAGGATCTACGTAGACGTCTTCAAGACTACCTCACGTTATGGTGTCCACAACCCGATTGTCTCCAAGCGCACTGCTTCTCCCATAGTAAACGCGTACATCGCATGAATCGTGCTATTGACTGACCGAGTATCGCAGACGTTGAGCAGTTCGATCTATCAGCAGGTGTATCAGCGACTTCATTCCGATGTTTACCAGCTACAAGCGCGTGCGGAAACAGCTGTATCATAGAATCTGGATCAACTTCTGAGGTATGTCGTTTGACAAGCTCGAGTCAACCCGTCGCTAATGCGCGCATAGGACGACGTGAGGTGGAGCAGCCAAGACATCGATGACTTGAGGACAATCTCCCAACTCGGTACGCCAATGACGTCCTGCGATCTGGCAGTGTTATGTCGTAAGCCGTGCTATGAGGTTCGTTTCTGTCTCATTCTAGACGAATTACTCATAGACACGTTCTAGGTCGCTCTCATATGCAAGCAACATGACGACTTTCACGTCCCTGTCAAGCGTCCGCGGGGCCGGCCGAGGTTAGAAGTCGTCAAAAAGCACCCTTTCGGTGCGTGCTGTCGCTATCCAGTGTCGGCGAAATGCTCATAGTAACTTCGTTCAGGCCCCGAAAGAGCTCCTGGATTCGTTCCGTGCGTCATCCTTAGAACACGTCCATAACGAGTACCCGGAAACTCATGTAGTTTCAGAAATGACCCGTGCGCTCATCGCGGGCCATGCGGACAGAGTTCAGACTGCGCTTGCTTCCTCAACAAGGCGCATTGCTCGCGGAACTGCCGCTGCGCGCGCGATTGTAAGCCGCCCAGCGTCGCAGTAGTTCCGTGTCACTAACTATATGCGACCCGCTGCAGGTTCTAGGAGGTGGCAGGGATGCAAATGCGCGCTGTATGGGCGTCCGTCGAAGAGCAAGGCTCCACAGACGTGCTCTGGCAAACACTGTCCCTGTTGGAGTGCAAATCGAGAATGTGATCCCGACGTGTGCCTGCCGTGCCATCCCACTTGTCGAAGCAGGCAGCTACAAACAGGGATACATAAGGCGAGTCACCTGCGTAATGATTATACTACTCTTGCTAATCAAAGAGATGTCGCCGGTAGGCTACTGAGGTCAAGGCGGGGAAGTACGGGTTTGGGCTCTTCCTCACTCAGGATGCAAAGCAGGGAGACCTCATCACAGGTGAGCGGCTCTCGGCTCGCCTACACGATCGTGAACTGACGGACTATCTGATAGAATACCTCGGGGAGCTCATCTATGAGCCGACATTCCTTTGTCGCGAGTGCGCAACACGTCTTTCTTTCGTCCCTACCTCTGTCTGACCTAATATATCACTACATCCAGCCAGCTCACGTCGCATGTCGGCCGCAGCTATGTCTTTTGCCTGAATAAAAGCATATCCGTGGATGCCTTTCCGGCCGGTAATGAAGCGCGTTTTATCAATCACACGCCATCGGAGGAGGCAAACGTCGCAGTCTCTAGTATGCCCCTTTGAGCGCGACCCTTTCGCGCCGCCTGATACTGACGTTTTTGTGTAGTATTGCTTATCCATGGGGAGCAGCGGATCGGGGTGTTCGCGAGTGAGTCGTCTTCGCCGCACAGTTCTCAGGGTGGGGGCTAACTGATCCGCGCTTGGCTTGCCAGAGGTAGATCTGGACTCGGGCAGCGAGCTGTTCATGGATTATGGCCCGGAGTATCCCATCTAGCCTTCTGGCGGTGAAGCTTGAAGGTCGCTGGGTTCATCAAGTGCTTAGTATGTGCACCGCTGCCGCCATCGGGAACCGGTAGTGCGCAGGGAGACACGCCCCTTCATCTCTGTCATAGTACTACGGACTTTATCAAAGAGGAAGAACTTTATGCTACTGGGCAATTCGCGGACGATAAGTAAGATTGCAGGACGGTGTATCTGTCGTGGTAGGCAGACTCACCAACCGATCAGGATATTCTGCTGAACATGCACAATAACATCCCTCTTAGCTCAGTTGGTAGAGCGCGTCACTAGTACGACTAAGCGGTCAAGTGATGACGAGGTCAGTCGTTCAAATCGGCTAGCGGGAACGTTTTGCCATTCATGCGAATCGATATACTAAGCGAGTGCTGTAGATCTTCGCGAGAACGCACCCATCGTAATTGTTTTCCTCTGAGGTGTGTTAGAATCGAGAGCGCATTCCAAGTGCAGACATACATAAAACGTACGCTTGAGGCGCGCCGGGCCGGAGGCGTGTGACTTTTGTGGAACAATGTTCGATTCTCGCTGTGCGTGTATTTCGGAGGCTTTCCTTCTAGCCACCAGCCACGGTCTCCGAACTGCTTCTGTGCGGACTTTGGTAAGTCTCTTTTCTCACCAGGAGGTTGTATATTGAAGAATTATGGAACGTTCGCAGTAGCAATGACGCAGCCATCCGTCGTGTATACGAAGACCACCCAGCGCGTTCTAGCGATTCCCGAAATACTGGAGCTGGTCTTCTTATTTCTGAACGTACAGGACGCAGCGCAATGCGCCTGTGTGTGCAAAAGTTGGTCCGAGGTAGCTCTGAGCTCTCTATGGAGGGACGTCGATGATCTACACCGACTGTTCAAGCTCCTCGCCCCGATCGAGGCAGGCGCACCTGAAGCTCCTGACAATATCGGCGTTCACGACGTAAGCAGGGACTACCTACGGACCCTGCTCTTTCTAACATGTATGTTAGCATCATTTTCAGCGACCTCTCGAACCCGCAGACTGGGCCAGGTTCATGCGGTATGCCCGGCGCGTACGGAGTCTCTCGGTACCACCATCCAACGACAACGAGCTACGCGGCTCGCTGGTCTTTGACGTAGTTGCGCAGACGCGTACGACGCTCAACATCCTTCCCCGTCTTTCCTCGCTCTCCTGGACCTCCGACAAAGGCGAGCGCATGCGGGTCTCGCTGATGTTTATGCACGATAACGTGAAGCAATTCACCGCCAAGCTCGTGCCTTCGGACAACTACTCTTTCAGCATCTACTTCCAGGAGATCGCACTCCGCATGCCCAAATTAACCCATCTTGATTTGAGGTTCACGTTTCCGGTTCACGATATAGAAAAGGACCTCTGCAATCTGTTCGAAGCCCTGCCACTGCTGCAAAAAGTCGTTCTCCCCAAGTTCACCATCACTGCCAAAATCATCGAGCGGCTCTCAAATAATCCGAAACTGCGAGTGGTACAGTTCGAATTCATGGAGTCGCAAGGCGCTGGAGACGTCTCCGACGTACACAACTGGTTCCCTACGCTTCAGGAGGACGCATTTCCGTCTTTGAACGACCTCTCCGTCAGCGTCCACCTCCCGCACATGGTTCGCTTCCTGAATGCCGAGTTCTCCCCGGCCCATCTGACGTGTCTATACGTCCACCTGCTCTATATCGTCCCTCCGTATCAAGTGCAGGAATTTCTTGAGGCGACGACACAGAATTGTCAGGAGCTCACTCGGCTCTACCTCGATTTTGCTGGCGACCCGAGTCCTCTCTTATTCCGCACGACCCTTCCGGATGAGGACCGCATCAGCTGGAATACCCTCCGGCCCCTCCTCAAACTGTCGAAGCTGGTCGAGTTCGAGCTGCACTGGGACTCGCCTGTTGCGATCACGCAGGACGACCTCGAGGAGTTGGCATCGAGCCTGCCGGCTCTGGAGCTCCTGGAGCTCAACTCCGAACCGCTCCCCACCCCGCAGCCGCCCGCACTCACCCTCCGCGCGCTCGTCCCGTTCGCGCGCCACTGTCCGAAGATGCGCGAGCTGAACCTCTACGTCAACGCATCATCCGCAGACCTCGAGGACGCCTCGCGCGAGTTGCACGCGTCCCTGCCGCCCATCCAGTTCCGCAGCCTTTCGAAGCTCTCGTTCGGGCTCTCGCACATCGCGTCCGCCGAACCGGTCGCCCTCTTTCTCAGCGAGCTGTGCCCGCTCGGATGCGCGGTGCGCGCGGGCGTGAGCTGGCCGAACGGGTTCAGCGCGATGGAGGCGCAGACGCCCGAGGACGCGGTGGTGCTCGGGGAGATGTGGGGCCAGGCGAGCGAGTGGTACGCGCGCTGGGCGGAGGTGGACGGCATGCTGCCGTTGCTGACGCGGGCGCGGATGGAGGAGCGGGCGCGCAGACGGGAGCTGGAGCGTGAGGTGGAGGACTTGCGGGTGCGCTGTCGGCTCTTGGAGGACCGGGCGAACGTTGGAGTGCCCTCGGATGGTGGGTGCATCTTGCTCTAGGTGCTGTGTTGGGTAAGTGAAACGTCTCCCAGTCTCGGACTGTCTTGTACTTACGCAGCGTCCAGATTCACCGAGCGTGAAAGATTGCAAAACGGTGTTCTGTCAGTATCTATTTGCTGTGTTGATTTATTCCGTGCTTGAAGATCGTTTGCTCTGCTGCTTTGTCCGGACCACGCCCTCTGGATATCATGGACACCCTGCGCCATTATTCCTCACATACGCTATTCACGAATTGGAAAAAATAAACAAACTATCCCGTACACGCCAGACATGTGCATTCTGACACAAATGGAGGGCAGATACTTACTCACGCTATGCAAGTCTCATGGCCAGACCCGTGGAGGATCAGGGCCGCACGGGCAACGCACGGCGTGGGTATCCTGTCAGCTTGGGAGTGTGCACATGAGGCTATCGGCCTTATCACACAGCGTTTTGTTCCTCGTTCTCGTTCTCCATCCTTCACTACGCCTGCTATATAACAGGACTTCAGGTAGGCGAGAACCCTTTCATTCGTCCGTACATTGTATACCACCTCAATCGGGACACACAGGAGGTTACAGGGTTAGTAATTTTCGCCGATGTCGACGATCCACTCCATCAAGCGCGAACAGTGCCACCTCGCCTGGGACCACAGGTGCTCCGCGAGCCTTTCCATCATTCTACCACGTACTTACATCCCATTTGCATTCATCAGCATCCCCCCGATTCTGCGCGTGCAGTCCGGCGAGACCGTCACCTTCGACTGCCTCGACGCCTCAAATGGGCAGCTCACGCCCACCTCCACTGCGGCCTCCATCGCCTCGCTCGTCTTCGCGCAGCTCGACCAAGTGAACGGCCCGATCTTCGTCGAGGGCGCCGTCCCGGGCGACACGCTCCGCGTCGACGTGCTCGACGTGCGCACCGCCGCCTGGGGCTGGTCCGCGCTCATCCCCGGGTTCGGCCTCCTCGCGGACGAGTTCGCGGTGCCGACCGTCAAGATCTGGACGCTGCACGCGCATGAGGGCGGGTACGACGATGCGGGCGAGTATGGGTACACGTGGTTCGACGAGGAGAAGGGGATCCGCGTGCCGTTGAGGCCGTTCGCGGGCGAGATGGGCGTCGCGCCGGGGAAGCCGGGCGCGCACTCGACGATCCCGCCGTATGCGACGGGCGGGAATGTGGACACGCGCCATTTGACGAAGGGCTCGATTTTGTATCTTCCGGTGGAGGCGGAAGGTGCCTTGTTCTCCATCGGGGTGAGGTCTGTGGTGCCCAATGCTTGTTAGTGCTGATGATGGTCATCTAGGACGGACATGCGGCCCAAGGAGACGGCGGTAGGTCCCCGGGGAACTAGATACTGAGTGAATGCGCTGCTGATCATTGCATCTCGTTCTTCTAGAGGTCTGCGGTAAGCCGCTTCGCGTTCTGTACACCAGAGAGTAGCTCACGCGGGTTTTACGCAGGCACGGCGATCGAGACGCCAATGAATGTGACTGTGCGACTGACGGTCTTGAAAGACAAACCGTATGTGAAGACGCCGCACTTCGTAACGCGCTCGCCACATGGGCGCGAGGAAGAGTTCTACTGCACGACCGGCGTTGACTCTGGTGCGTGGCTCGCGACGGGCGAAAGCTGCGGCGCGTGTGCTGCCCGCACGGCTGTCATCAGTTGCTCGTCCCAGTGAGATGACAGTGGAGCTTACCCAGCATATACAGACATCCGAGAGGCAACGCGTGCGGCCGTGCGGCATATGGTGACGTTCCTGGGTGCGGAGTATGATCTCACGCGTGAAGAGGCGTATATACTATGCAGCGTCGCAGGAGACTTGAAGATGCACGAAGTGGTGAGTCGTTGACGTCTTGTCGTGGTTGAATTTGTGACCCTCGGTCGCTTAACGAGACTTCTTAGGTGGACATGCCGAACTACGTGGTGCGTGCTTTGTAGGGTGCTTGTACCGAGGCCGCTATGCTTATTGCACAAGCGTAGATTGGGATGATGATACCGAAATCCATATTCACAAAGAGCAAATAATCCTGGATGATGCTGTAGGTGTCGTTATAGGTTGAAAGCCTCAGCTACTAAGACTTACTGCGCTTAAGGGATACAATATTTCCCAGTCAACCCAATTCGAATTCCTGCTTGCTCCTCGCAAACACTTTGGGCTTGCCGTACCGTACATTGCATTGAAATTTACGAGCGTCGTATGCTTCCTTAACAGCAACATCTAAGCCTTGATTTATCGACGAGACAGAGCCAGAGGTCATCCGTGCAGTTAGTCATCGCTTGAGGAGGTGGAAGATCGAGTTCAAGGTGCATCGGGCGCCAGTTGGCAAGTGCCCGCTCTTTCCAGGAATTGTAGAGCTCTTTCGACCCTTGGGGCGATGGGGGCCCTCTGCCGTTCCTCCGTACAGCCCGTCTAACCTGAACCACCACCATCGCCTCATGACTGCCCTCGCTGTCCTCTTCGAAGACCTGGAGTTGCTTTGCCGAGTCAGTGTGGTAATGAAGAAGATAAGATAAGCCCGCCTCGGACGATCGAGGCTCCCTCTCGAGCTCGGAACGCTAGGCGTTATCACCTGCGCAAAGCCGGCATCGTCTCTCTTATACCTGCACCTCTCGGTTCCCTCAGCGCACTCGAGCACCTCGCTTGCAGTCAAGAACGATGTCCGAACTCTCTTACCTCTCGCACGCCCGCTACGGCAAGGACAAGGTCCGCGTCTTCCGCGTCGTCCGGGATGGCGCATGGCACAATGTTTTCGAATACAACGTTACCGCGCTCGTAGAGGGAGACATCGAGATCAGGTAAGCCCACACGCACTCGGATTCCCATTCAGACCCTCGATACTGAGGGTGATCGATGGTACTAAGCTACACCAAAGCAGACAACACCGTGGTGGTCGCAACGGACTCTAGTGAGTCTCCATATGCATCTCCTGACCTAGTCGATCTGACCATCCGGGCTACTCTCAGTCAAAAACATCACCTACTGTGCGTCATCCACCTCGGTGGGCGGCACAGTCCATCCTGACCCGCCCCTATCTCGCTAGACCTCGCCAAGACCTCCCCCCACGTCCTCCACCCGGAGAGGTTCGCGCTCCATCTCGGCACACACCTCGTCTCCAAGTACGCGCACCTGAAGAAGGCGTTTATCACTATTGAGCAGCTCCGGTGGCAGCGCATCCCGATCGCGCAGGGCGAGGGTCAGACCCCGAAGCCACACTCGCACGCGTTCTACCGCGATGGAGACGATACGCGCGTGGTCGAGGCTGAGGTACGTTCTAACACTTTACTAGCCTTACACCCGCAATATGCTGACAGAAATACTACATACAGATCGATGCTACCGCGGGCAAGGACAAGATCGTCGCGCATGTGACCTCCGGCGTGCGCGGGCTGCTCGTGCTGAAGACCACCGGCTCCGCGTTCGAGTCGTTCGTGCGTGATGAGTACACGACGCTCGTCGAGGTCGACGACCGCATCTTCTCCACCTCGATCGACCTCACCTACAAATACGCCCCGCTCCCCATCCCCGCGCCGGCTGACGGCGAAGGGAAGGTCTTCGACTACGCGCCCACGGCAGAGGCGGCTAAGGGCACCGCGTGGGACGGCGACGCCGTCGCGGCGGTCGCGCGCGATATCACGCTCGAGGTCTTCGCGCTGGACGAGAGCGCGAGCGTGCAGGCGACGCTGTACAAGATGGCGCAGCGGATGATCACCGAGCAGCAGCACGTCCTCAGCGTGACGTACAAGCTTCCGAACAAGCACTACGTCCCCGTAGACATGAAGTACATCGGCATCGACAACATGTCGCCGTACGCCCTTCTATCCAACTCTATCTTACTAGCCGCTTGTGCTGAGCAGAATCTATTTTTCGCAGTCCGAAGGCCGAGGTCTTCCTTCCCCTATCCGCGCCCAGGTGTGTTTCATATACCATTCTGCTCACCTGCCTAGTCACTAACGTGTCACGTCCGGTTCAGTGGTCTCATCTCTGCCACCGTGTCGCGCAAGTGAGGGCTATCAAGACGAATGGGCAATGTATCCGCAGGTATATAGGGCGACTAGTTGTAGTCTGTATAGCGTGGCGATGTTTGTAGGCTATCGAGAAGATAAACAAGGGACATAGCATTGTATACAGCTATGAGTGATCACACGCAAACCGAAATATGAGAAGGCGGGGCAGGTCAGGGACTTGGGATGTTGAGTTCGATGCATATGGAGGGGACCGTAAAAAGCAAAAATTCCCGCTAGCCGATTTGAACGACTGACCTCGTCATCACACGACTTAATCGTACTAGTGACGCGCTCTACCAACTGAGCTAAGAGGGACGTTGAAAGCATGGGTGGCGTGTCTTACATATTAGCAAATTAACTGGCGCTTCCGGTTGCAACATGCTGTCGTTCCCCGGGCACAGGCTTCTTGCACCGTCTTTGCTGCCACCATGACACATGCAAAAATCTGCCTCAGAATATTTACCAAGTCTATCTTCATGAGGGCTCCGACTTGCATCCATACTTGGTCTCTTGAGTAATCTGCTGATACATCAGCAATACTATGTGACTTCTCCTCTGGCCTCAGTCAATACCGAGTTCAATATTTCTAGCGCAAGCTGTGGTACGTCAAGAACTCCAATAGCCCGTTGAGGAATCGGCTCATGTTGCGGCGTAGCCCCGTTACTCCCCGTGCCCGGTCTATCTCTATACAAACGTCAGGAGTCAGGACTGACGTTTCGACAGATGCTCCCTGCCGCTAGTGCTATCATGTAGTATTGGCTACGCCTTTGTCGAAATTTGCCAACGCATCAGTCTTAGCGGTCCGAAGTCGGGACACGCTGCACTCCGGCGGCGGAATGCATGTCTTGCGACCTACCACGGTTGCTGACCTGTCAACATGCTAGCGGCGTTACCGCAAACCTTGTCGGAATTCAGGTGTCCCTACGCCGCGCTGAGGCATCGCTTTGAATGGTCAGAAGAGCGTTAATCTTTGGCTGCTACATTACCTCAAAAGGTATTACGCATTCCCGACATCTCTGCAAGGTCCAATGAAAGGCAGTGCTTCTAGCTGCCAACGTGTCCTGGCGAATACCCAGTGCGCCTTTTCGGAATGCATGGCCCGCGTTTGCGCAGTGGTGCGTTCGGGTCGAGAGATACGAGCTCACCTTAATTCGCATGCACAGGCCCCGTGCGCTCCAGCGAATGACAAACGATCTGTGCCGCTGTCTCTAGGCCCCCACATTATCCCCGCTCCACGATCAGCCCCGCTGCATGTGGTCTATCAGGGCGGTACCCAACGATCGTGAGTGCCTCATGTTCGGGAAACATACGTGCGGCCAACACGGGTCGACATCCGGAGGATACCCTCACAACATATGCGATGAGGGGTCGCGCGGTAGTCGGCGGCCACACGATGATGAGCACTGGCAGCCCAACGTGCCCTCTGCGTGTGATTCGGTGGTGATTCTGTGAAGCACATCTGCAGGTTTGATGGAAAGGCCGTGGCGGCCGCCTAATCTGATATTCACAGCAGACCAGGTACAGCGCTGCTGAGGGGAATAGCGGCGCGAAGACTCTGACTCCCCAGCACGTCAACGAGCTCTAGCTGCTTTCGATCAGCCTGCACCGTGGAGTATGTTGCAGCAGAAGCAGCCTATAGGACGCATACAGGGCCCCGTTTTCTCATTGTCAGTCGATGTCTCTGACTATTCACTTGCAATGATACTTCACGCGGTAACTTTGACCCCGTCCGCCAGCGCAGTACGTCGGCTATGTAGACACTGTCCTTCCCTGCGGTCACTTAACATTCGGATTTTGGCAGGTGCCGGTACGACCCTGCGGGCCGCCGAAATCCCCCCACAGCCGCCGGGCGCGACCAAGTACGTTGCGCGCACCGAATAGGCATTGTCCGCGCCTCTCCAGGTACGTCTTAGCATCCCGAGCATCGTTCCAGGTTGAAAGGATCTATCAGAACTGGTATGGCAGGGCGGGCAGGGTCCGAATCGGCGAGGTCAGGACACATGCTTTCACTTAGCGGGCGACAGCGCTTGAGCTTCCTGGGTACTAAATCCTTGATATGTATAGATATTGACAGGGATGGTCCCACAATATTCAAATGCCTCGTTTTGCGCCGTCGGTTCCGCCGACAGGGAATCGTATACTATCCGGCGGAGGCTCGGACTCTGTCTGACGCACTGTTCTAGGCAGAACGCGCGTGTCGCGCTCCGCCAGATGTGATATCACCCCGAACGTCGTAGCACGGCCTTTGTGGGACGCGTGGTGCAGGGCCGGAGGCCAAGGGCACGTTGAGTCAGCCCGCTGTGGATGCCCGAGGCTGCTTCATTGGTCCGGGGATGCGAGATGTTGCCGGAAGCGGTTTAAAGGCCGATTCCGAGGGAGTGGGCGCCGGGCGGCAACTTGATCAGGGCGGTGAAGAAAGATCTCGCGATCGCGTATTCCGGCGTTCATTATCGTGTCTCACGACATCCCACGACTCATTCACTCGCATCTTCATCCTTTGACGAGCCGGAGATGACATCGGACATGGTGCACGCTGTACATCACACCTGCAGGCGCAATATACGCTCAGTTTCCGACATAATTTGAGAAGCATGCCTTGGTGAGTTCAATTTGACGGAATTTCTGCTATCTGTCATGAATGTTTGAAAGGAGACTTCCCCCTGTTCATAGCACTCAAGACGGTTGGTAGCGATAGTGGAATATGCTGCACTTTCATCCGGTGCGCCCTGCAACAATCTCGGGGGTCAGAAGACTGGCTGGTGCCCGGGTCCCGAGCCACCATCGATCCTCACAAGTTCACTAGCGCGCCGATCACGCTCGTGGGTCTGCAGCCCTTCCGTTCGAGAATGTCATTGGACCCCGAAAATGCAAGCAGGGTAGACGGTGGTTCTCGTGTTCGACTATGGCGCCCGCACGGTGCGCAGCTGGTCCAAATCCGACTCCCCAGGGCCGGAAGACGGCGCACACCCGGCGTCATCTCCATTCTCGGCACATTGTCTGGCATGGGAAGATGGACGGGGAAGATCCAGATCAGTATATACCGTGTTCCCGAGCGAAAAGGAGATCCCGGGGTCTTATCGGTGTCTATCCATCGTGGGACAGAATTCGGTATATAGACCGGCAATTTCTCTCGACCTCCGCAATCTCTCCCTCGACATCCCGCACGCCACCGAAGTCGCCGTTTCCTGCTCAATGGACTCCCACTATGTCCGCACCGTCGGACACATCGACGAGCTCCTCGTGATGATATTCGCCTACCTCGACGACCGTGCCCTCTCGCGTGCCGCCTGCGTCTGCAAGCACTGGTCGGAAATTGCACTCGACTGCTTGTGGCACGAGGTCACAGACCTCAGACGGGCACTCACCGTGCTCGCGCCGCTTGCACTCAGGCCAGAACGCACCGCGACCACGTCTATCCGCGCACCAACCGCCTACGTTTGTGTCCAGCCGCCACTGTTCGTTCCGAAGCTTCTAACGCAACCTTGGCAGGCGTTCAAACGTCCGTTGACGGCGGACGACTGGCAGCGTTTCCAGCGCTATTCAGCCAGGGTTCGCCGACTGCGGTACGATCAACGCCACGCCCGGTCGACGACCGACCGGGCAAAACGACACGTGCCGTTGCACACCAAGGTCTTCGATGACCTCTCCGCGACCTGCCCATATCCGGACATCTTCCCGAACCTCCAATCGCTCACATGGTTCGCCTGCCCATCCAGCCGGCAACACCTCAGCGTCGTTTTCATGCATCGGCGCGTAAAACACCTTGGTCTGCACATGTATCGATCCGAACCCCATGCTTTTACAGCGTTTCTCAGCGATGCGTGCGCGCGATGCACTGGAATTACCAGCCTCGAGCTGAGACTGGAGGAGCCCATGCGACACCTTGAGCAAGACGTGATCCTTCTCCTTCGTGGCTTGCCCCAACTGCTGCAGTTGTCCCTTCCCATCTTCTCCTTGACGCCTCGCATCTTCGTTGAGCTGTCCAGATTGAGGCATGTGGTGTCGATAACCCTCGGACACCCCGCGCAGGCAGAGCCCGGGGACCGCAGGGACGTCGCCGACTTTGCCCCGACGATACCAGACGACGCCTTTGTCACCCTCCGAAATCTAGCCTTCAGCACCCGGCTTCCAGACGCGACGAGGCTTCTCCACACGACGCAGTACCCTGCGTGGCTTACTCGTCTCCACATCAAGAGTGTGGCTATCACGACGCCCGTCGAGCTGCGCGACTTCTTCTGTGCCGTCCGGGACCGATGCGCCTCGCTCGTAGACCTTTCTGTGGACTACATCATCGCGCCTGACTCTCCCATCATTTCTCCGCCGCCTCCTCGTCGCGAACGTCCATCTTTGGAGACGTTTCGCCCCTTATTCTCCGCGCGCTCAATACGCGTCTTCGAGTTTCGCTGGGACTACGCGCTCAATCTCAGCGATGACGATATGGAAGGGTTCGCAAGCGGCTGGCCCGCCCTGGAGAGCCTGCAATTGAACCCTGAACCTGTTCCAGAACCAGATGGCCCGAAGCTGTCTCTGTGCGGCCTCATCCCCTTCGCAAGGCACTGCCTGAACATGCGCTACCTGGCGCTGCACGTGGACGCCCGCGACCTTCCGGACCTTTCCCGCTTCGCCCGTTCTCCCGCCGCGATTCCCTTCAAGTGTCTCGAGACGCTCGCCGTGGGGCTCTCGGCGATCTCCAAGGCGGAGCCGGTGACACTCTTCTTGAGCCAGCTGCTCCCGCTCGGATGCCCAGTCAGCTGCGGACTGCGCTGGCCGGACGCGTTCGACCTGGCGCTCGAGCACGCGCGCATCCCGCTTGACGTGCGAACGGAGATGGCGGCGTACTGGCAGCGCTGGACGGAGGTGGCGAAGCTGCTGCCGGTCGCGACCAAGGCGCGGCTCGAGGAGAAGGCACGGTTCTCCGCGTTGGAGCGGGACATGCACGCGCTCGAGCTGTCGCGCTCCGAAGACCGCCGGCGACTCACGCATCTAGAGCGCGAGGTGCTGGACCTGCGCGGGCGCACAGGGCGGACGCCGTGAACATAAGCAGCGGGCGACATCACGCGGGCGGGTGAGTGATGCGTCTTCCGATGACATTGCTGCTGGATTGACCGAGCTGCACAGGGCGTGTCCCCGGTCGGGGGTCAGGCCTCTGGCTCACCTGCCATGCCTGCTGCATCGGGCGGCGTCGTTCTTCGGCACCCTTCTCCCGTTCCCCACGCCCTCAAACAGAAATACCTCCATGTGAGCAAAGATGTATAATACCCTACTTCGTAGACGCGACAGTGATGCCAGGCCCACGAGTTGCGCCATCCCTGCCAACGATAGTGCCTGCACTTCCCCCCGTGATGCCGCGTACGCTCCTGCGCCTTCCAAAACATCCGGTAGCCATCATTGTTAGCAGTATGTTTACGTCCACCCAGTTCAGGGTCCATGTCGCTCGTGCCATCTGGATCTCGGTCCGACAGAAGCACTCTGGCGGTACGCACTACAACCCAAAACCTAATCGGCGCACCTGAGGCTGGCCGATGACCGCCTGCACCCAATCGACTCCCACAGGAACGCGGTATAACATATGCCCGAACCCGTCGGGGTCTATACGACACGCCTGCGCTGCACATCCATCTCGGTTACAGAAGCGCGCCGTGTCCCCAGACAGCATGCGCCCCGGATTCTGCAGATAACGGTTAGGGGCGCTGCTTCTGCCGTCTACCTTCCCAGGGGAGAGAATGCGCTGCCGAGAGGGGGCCTGGGTTGCCGGCCGGTCAGAAGGCCTCGGGCGGGGTCGCGGACTCGCAGGGGCTTGCAAGAGTCACCGAGGGCGCCAGCACCCACGGTCTTCCTGCGCGCCCGGGGCGCTCACGGCGGGGTGACAGGAGAGCGGTCTTTCGCCCGATATTGCGAGCCTGGTAGTAATACAAGATGTCGCTTACATCCTACATCCGTCTCAGTTCCCCCCTCGTCCATTCCTCGTAGCCTTCTTTACCTAATGGGACGTTTGTTCGCCGTTGTTGCGACCGCTTAGGGGCCTGGAGTCCTGCGTGAGGCCGTGCGTTCACTTCTTGGCGGGCGCGAAGTGCCGCGAGGGAAAAGTCTGGCCGTAGAAATAGGCCATCATCGCGTCCGAGTGCGTCGTCGTCAAATTGAACAGCGGGTGCGTCGCGTTCTGTGGTTTGCGCAGACAGGTCAATCACGGCCCCGCTAATGCCCGGCGGGCGCCCCGCCTGCGCACGACCACGACCACACTCACCACACGGTTCGCAGCGCCGCCGACGTAGAGCTCGGTACCCTCCTCTTCGGCCCACGACAGGACGTGGGCGCACGTCTGCTTGCGCAGCGCATCGAGCTTCTCACGCTCTGCCTCCGACGTCGCGCGGAAGCCCGTGCCTGACAGACGGAAAGGGAGGGCGGGCGGTCAGATAGGCTCCGGGGCGAGCGCGCTGTCGGGCGGCGGCAGGGGAAAACGTACCGTCCCTGGAAAGGGCCTTTGCGGCGTCCCAGGCGGAGATGATCGCGTTCTTCCGTGGTTCAGAAGGGATGACGCGATGTTGGGCCGCTGAGAGACCGGCGGAGCAGTACAGGGTGTGGTAGGCGTCTGCAGCTCTGATCAACGTAAGGACAGCCGTCAGCACTTGCGTCAAGTATGTTGGGGCGCATGCGACTCACTTGGGCGGTTTGTCGCGCAGTCCGCCCGCAGGGTGTTGGCCGGCCAATAGAATGTACTCCTGAAGGGCCTTGCGATCGAATAGGGAGTCTATCACACGATATGAATGAAATAGAGCGTTCAATAACATATTTCCGGTCGGCAACTAACGGATAGAGCGCAAATGACTCACCATCGATATCATCCCAGGCCTTATGCGCCTCATCTTCATTGTTGTTCGCCTCGGTCGGCGGTTCACTGTGCGCTCCGACGCCGAGCAGCGCCTCCACGAGGACGACGCATCCGCCTACCCACCAGCTGTAGCAGCCGTCGACGAGCTTATTCGTGCGGCCCTTAAATCCGCCGAGCTCGATAGGCAACCCTTGCATTTGCGTGCACCACCGCGGGAGCGCACGGGTGTCTATTTGAGGCTTCTGTGGCAATGACACCGTCGATGTTTGGCTGGCAGGAGCATAATAGAGATCGATAAACGATTGGAGGAGGACCCATGACGCCGTGGCACAGAACGTGTAGCCGCCATGGGCTTCGCCGAGCGGGGGACGGGGTGCGGACGGGTCATACGTCTTGGCGGGGCCTGTGGCGGACTCCGGGTCGTCTGTATGGGCGGTGAGCTTGAGCTTCTGACTATGTTATGGCACGGGCGCACCAGCCTCGAAGGCCCAGCCGGGGAAGGAGGCGTTGCCGAAACCACCCTCATAAGTTTGGCATGTGGCCAGGAAGTCGGGGACGCCGGCGAGAAGCTCGGGTGTGAGCAGATTTAGGAGTGTTGCGACGGCGAGCAGGCAGTATATACCCCTGCGCAGTCATTGGTCAAATTGTCGTAAAGCGGTTAGACAGGGTGTGATGGAAGACGAGTGGATGACTCAAGAGACCGTCCATCGTACACGTCCGTGCAAGCGAGTCAGATTAGCCCGCGCTCACCTGACATCTACCTCTCCATGGTGACTGACGAGGAAGGAGCCGTCTGGCTGCTTCAACGACATGAAGAAATCATACATCTTCTTCCTGAGATCGATGAGGTAAGTTCGTATATGAGGAATACCTTCGAGTGGCCTGTCACCTATCGATGGATTCCCAGCCGCCTCCTTCACTGGGACGGCCAACGACCGCAAATGAGCAGACAGCGGCGTATGTCGGGAGCAGATGAGCAGCCTGTCCGGGACCGCCAGCAAATCCGCCATCAGGATGCTGGAGGGCGAGCAATGTTTCTATGGATCTTTGGGGTCTCATAAGCTGGACATGGACGTGGGCATGTAAGTCAACTTACCGCTTCTTTGTCACATCATCAAGGCCTGCCCCGAGTATGCTGAAGCCGTGCAGGGTCCAGTAGATCAACCACGGCTGGCTGGCGTCTTGAGATACATATCGTTCCGGAAATCCCTGCCGCAGGTTGCGCAGAAGAAATTCAAAGTGGGATCTCTTCTGTAGCTCTGGCTGGGCGCCACCCGCGGGCAGAATGTGAGACTTGATCACATTCTCCGTGGAGGCCTGGAGAGTGGAGGTCGGGGTGCTGTACCCATCTATCGGAGTCGGTGAGTACACGTTCACCATGATCCTGCGTCGGGATCCTCCTTGTGGTTTGGAGCAGAGAGCGTCTTTGGGAAATCGAACAAGTCCTGGAACAAGATGTGTGGTTCATTGTAGTCTCGTATCTCGATCGCAGCGACCGGTGGGCTTATGCTATAACAGGCAATAGACCGCACAGAGGATTGAAACGCATATCCCTCTTAGCTCAGTTGGTAGAGCGCGTCACTAGTACGATTAACCAATCGGGTAATGACGAGGTCAGTCGTTCAAATCGGCTAGCGGGAACGTTTTGTTTTTCCACTCGACGCAGAACTGATATGTGGCACCGCTCCCCTGGGAACAGACTTATGTGCATTTCTGTACTGACGCTGTAGATTCCTATAGAAAGTTTATCAAACCGGCGAGCATAGAGCGGCCAAAAGGACAGCCCGTCCTGCAGATAGCGCAGACGCGGTCACGAGCATCCAGTGGCGCGCCCAAACGCGCGACGCGTCGGGCGCGCGGCAAACGAAGGGAGGACTTGAAGCTTGAAGCTTTGAAGCCCAGTGAGAATCGACAATATTAAAATCTATTGCGAGCTATTGCCCTCAAGTACGAGCTATTTAAATATATTTGGATCTATTCGTCGCCCGTTGCGGGCGCTTTTCTGTCTGGTTTCGTCTCGTTTTGTCTCGGCGATCGTCTTTTTCAACTGCTGTCATGTCAATTCGAATGCATCCATGTCAACTTTTTCACCCGACCGTTCTGCTTTTGCGGAAAAAAAATGCGCGCCTGACAACTTTCTGCGATGGCGTCATCGGATCCTGGTTTTTGACTTCGCAGAGTTCGGAGTCGCTCGCCCCTTCGCCACGCGCATATCCCTCTTGCTTCCTGCGCCCATGTCCGTGCGCCGTCTCTGCGCTGGCATCTCCTCCCCTCCGAGTTCGAGCTTGCATTCTTCGCTCTCCCCACTGACTGACTAACTCACTAACCCGCTGACATACTGACCCACATACTTTGCTAATCATCACTGACCTACTGACCACTGACATACTGACCTACTAACCTACTGACGAGTTATTGTTACCGGCTTTAGATGCATTGCACACTTGCTCACGCATGCTCGCAGCCACGCGCTCCCGGCACCAGTTCCGCGCGCAGAAGAACTCGAAGGTACGTGATGACTTTGGCGGGCAGACGGGACGCGCGCGCGCGTGCTGGGGGGCGGCCGCGGGTTCGAGAAACGGAGGGGACCGGGAGGGTGCGGGCGGGATGTTTCGGGAAGCGGCTTGTAGCTCGGGGCTCTGTATATTGTAGTCTATTAAATACTATTCGATTCGCGCGCAATCGTCTGGAATAGAGCGCAATAGCTGCTCATAGAGCGTAATAGAAAGCCATCTATTGTTTCGGCACTTTTTCTATTGCGAGAGATTACAATCTATTAAATTTGGCGGTGCGGAAAACAATAGCTCGCAATAGATTTTAATATTGTCGATTCTCACTGGGTTTGAAGATCGACGGTCGGAGCACCACGTAGATGCTGCTTACGCCCCACACTTTCTTGTCACCGTTCTGGAATTTCCGGGCCGTCCGATACTTTGACTGTCACAATGTTACTCGGTTGGATTTGTGGCGTATGAGCCGACTCCTGGCGTTCAGAACACTCCTCTGAGAACAGCTTGGTGTGGTATCGGCGAAGCGATCTGGCCGATCCTTCGTCACACGGGACAGATATGCGGCTTCTTCGCGTAGATGCTTGGAAGACCGGGGATGACGTTGACATTTCTGTCGCTGAGCGGGCCCTGCCCTGGGTATAAAAGCCGGCATCTCAGGTTGAGACGACGACTTTCTTCCCACTTTCCCCCGCTTTCCCCTGCCACGCGTCCCACTGTACTGCGTCTCACATTCGAGCTGCTCCTAAGAATTCCCCATTTCGTTCATCAAGCCGTCATAATGTTGGCTCTCACTCGAAGGTTCCTCAAGTGTATGGCGCTGGATATTACAAAAAGTGAGAGCATTCCCGCTAGCCGATTTGAACGACTGACCTCGTCATTACCCGATCAGTTAATCGTACTAGTGACGCGCTCTACCAACTGAGCTAAGAGGGAATATATTCACCCTGTCTGACAGTACGCTGCGACCGGTAGCGCGCCACCGGCTTTACTAGCCGCCCCAAAGTGGTCTCCACGCAACTCCAAGTCGATGCGCGATGTAAGAGAGAGTACCCCTTGCAAACCCTGGACGCAGCCCCCTATGATATCAAGTCGAATGAGCGGTACCTGAACGTGTTTTTTATTACTCGTTTTCCAGGAACACCGCCGGATAAGCAGGCGGTGCGCGCCTTTCGCTCGGCGTCGTCATCACACCGGATCGAGCGCCTGTTGCCGCATGGTATCTTAACGATCGCGCACCGCTCCTGCTTTGCATCTCATTCTGCAACGACCACCATACCCACTTGACCAAGAAGCAGTCATCATGTCCAAGTTCCTTCGCAAACTGGACAAGATCGCGGACAAAATTCCGGAGGGTTTTGGCCATGCGCGCGCCATGGCTATAGGTCTGTGGACTATGTTTGTGACTGCTCCGCGAGCTGTGGCTGAATGCGGTTATCTATATCAGGTATCCTCAACCCGGATCGTACGCACTCTATCTGCCTGCGCATTCTTCGTTAATCCCTCACACACTCTCATAGGACGTCACGATGATCCCGAGGAGAAACGTGCGGACATGGTTCGCGCCGAGATTATGGCAGGCCACCGGTTCCATTCATTCGCGGACCAACGTTCGCAGAACTTTGTGAAATGGTACGTCCCGAAGCCAGCCATCTCCGCGTGCGAACCAACCTTGTTACCTTCACTGCAGGCATATTGACGGACATGACTACATGTGGGCCGTCTCCGAACTACTCGAGAGCGCCCGCGAAGCCATCTTTATCTTGGTAAGAGTATCAGCATCGCACCAACAGCCCACTCTTCTAACGATGCTCACAGGACTGGTGGTTGACGCCCGAGCTTTACCTCCGCCGCCCGCCTGCCAAGTATCCGGAATGGCGCATCGACCGAATCCTCAAGCGCAAGGCCGAACAGGGTGTCAAGGTCTATGTCATCGTCTACAAGGAGATTACGCAGACGATGTCCATGAGTTCTCACCACACCAAGGTACGGCTTGAGGCGCTCCACCCGAACATCACATGCATGCGGCACCCCGACCACATTGGGAGCAAAGGTAAGTATCTACCTCCGCGAGACTGCTTGTTTGCTAACAATGTCCTGCAGACGACGTCGAATTCTGGTCTCACCACGAGAAAGTTGTGGTAGTTGACAACCGCATGGCCTGCATCGGTGGTCTTGACCTGTGCTTCGGTCGCTGGGACACTCATAACCACCCCCTCGCCGACGTGCACCCGACGAACCCGGAGGATACCCTCTTCCCCGGACAGGACTACAACAACGCGCGTATCATGGATTTCGCTAATGTGCCAAACTACGTCAGCAACGGCCTGAGCGCGATCGAAAGCGCGCGCATGCCGTGGCACGACGTGCATATGACGCTTACTGGCACCGTCGTGCTCGACATCGTGCAGCACTTCGTTGAACGCTGGAACGAGGTCAAGAAGCGCAAGGTACGCACAAGCTCCTTCTGATGTGTACCTATACTAATCTCCAAAGTACTCAATCAGTACCGCAACGACGAGTAAGTCCACTTGCTAGACTAGCTAGCGGCGTGTCTTAACATCATGCAGGCGTTTCGACTGGCTCGCCCTTCCCCACGATGTCGAGCTGTCACCCAACGAAGCTGTCGTTCGCAAGTACCATCCTGCAGCGTAACATCTGCCTGTTAGCTGACATGCTCCTGCAGGTCACCCTCACCGTGAGCGTTGGCATGAGATTGGCAGGAGCTTCAGGGACCACTTCCACCGTCGCCGTCACGACGACGAGCCCGCGGATTACGACGGTGACCACCCGGTTGCACGCGGCTCATGCCGTGTGCAGGCCGTCCGCAGTGTGTCCGACTGGAGCCACGGCACCCTGACCGAGCAGAGTATCCAGAATGCGTGTACGTGTGCGAAACCATGGACTGGTTTTGTGCGAGCTGACTATATTTGAACGGGCAGACATTGAGTTGATCACGAATGCGGAGCATTTCATCTACATTGGTTCGTTACCATCTCGCTCCAGGCCCGTAGTATCTGACACCTGGAATTTTTAGAGAACCAGTTCTTGTGCGCCACTTCCCGACGCTGCCCTTTTGATCAGCGCTGACCGCATTTGAAAACGCAGCATCTCGAACACGGTCGAGGATGGGCCTGTCAAGAACCTGATTGCGCGGGCGCTCGTCGAGCGTATTGTGCGCGCAGGGCGCGAGGGCAAGCGGTTCCGTGTTGTGGTCGTCATTCCCGAGGTCCCTGGATTCGCCGGACAGGGTACGTGCATCATAACCCGCACTGTAACTGTGACTGACGCGTAGTACGCTGTGCAGTTAAGGATGAGACTTCCGTCAAGACCATCATGGCTGCCCAGTACCGCACCATCAACCGTGGCGGCCACAGCATCTACGAGGAGGTCCGCAAGGCGGGCTACGAGCCGTAAGCGTCCACCTCTCATCTTCGACGACAACCTTGACTCAGCGTAACATTTCACAGGTCTGACTACATCCGATTCTTCCACCTTCGCGCGTACGACCGCATCAACGCACCTTTCACATCGTACATCCACCCGATCGAAGAGCGCAGCGGCATCGTGTTTCACCAGCTTCATGTTGCGCTCGCCCGGCTCTGGGTCGGCGACCGGATGAACCCTGACGACCCGAAGGACGTCTCAGTGTCGATCCCTACCGGGAAGTCACTCGTAGAGCAGTCCACCTCCGGCGCCAAGCCGGAGATGAAGACGGAGACGTACCCGCTCCCGGAAACGGTGGAAGAAGCACAGGACATTGTCGACCGCTGGAACCGTGCGGCGCAGGAAATCCGCAGCGACGAGGATGTCGCGGACAATGTCGTGCAGCACATGCTGCATGACCGCACCACGTTGCTCGACGAGAAGTGGCTCGGCACTGAGGAGGAGGAGCGAAACGCTTACGTGTCTGAGCTGCTGTACATCCACTCGAAGGTTATGATCGTCGACGACAGGAGAGTCATCGTGAGTCCTGACGCCACCAACTCACTCCGTGTCATTGGCTAACGTACAGGTTCGGGATAGATGGGCTCAGCCAACCTGAACGATCGTAGCCAGAAGGTAAGTAGGGCGGAGTATTCTGTGGTGCAACCTTCTCACTGAGTTCACAGGGTGACGGTGATTCCGAAATCGCCCTCGTCGTCGAAGACGAGGATATGATCGAGTCGACTATGAACGGTGAGCCCTACCAGGTCGGCCGTTTTGCCGCCTCTCTGCGTCGTAAGCTCTACCGCGGTACGTTGCAACCCGACCGTCACGCACAGTCGCAAGCGCTGACCTTTGTCCTTCAGAGCACCTGGGCCTCATCCCGCCTCAAGACTGCGACAACCAGCCGGACTCGTTCCAGCGCCCCGCGCCGCACCCCAACGCGGACGAGACGGAGCAAGATGAGGACCGCGCCGTCGCGGACCCGATCTGTGACGACACGATGAACCTGTGGGAGAACACTGCGCGCACGAACCGCGAGATCTTCACGGAGATCTTCCGCCCGGTGCCCACCAACCTGATCCGCTCGTTCAAGGACTACGATGTGAGTCTCCACACTCAACCCTGAAGTGTGTTGTTTCACTGACTGGGATTGGATGTCAACAGAGCTACGTGCCGAAGGTGATGACCGGCCACGTCGTCCCGGATATCCCGCTCGACCGCATCAAGGACCGTCTCTCGCATGTGCGCGGCGCTTTGGTCGAGTGTCCGATGGTAAGCACGCCACTCCCTTTCTCTTGGACACTGCTGACTATTGAGCGCGTTTGCAGGACTTCCTGATTGACCAGGATGACTTCGTCGAGGGCCCAGACTGGAAGGGTCTGAACCCGACGCTCCCGATCTACATCTAAGGTATCTATATGTGCAGAATGTGCAACCACATGTCGCCTGGATCTTGGACTACTATCTCGAGCTTGTATGTATGACTAGTGCTTGAAGTTGTTACTGAATAAGAAATGCTGTAGGTTGTGCCATGACTCCGTTTGTCGCCACGCATTTACTTCCCGTTGAGCTGCGTGTCGCTTGCCGGTACGCTCCGGGAAATTTAAAGCAGTCCGACGATTCTTCGGCGGCGAGCTCTCGCAGCAAGCGCTCGCACTCTGCCACGCGAGTCTTGATCAGCCCGAGATGCACTTGCCCACGGACCACCACCATCGACCTCTGCTTCAAGTTCAGGCCTGTTCAGGCGCGGTGCTACCAGTGGTTAAAGTCCCTCGATACGTATACTATTCACAGTGCACGTCCAGCTGTCAGATATCGTATGGAAGGGGCGCCAGACCCAGCGGCCGATCACAATCCCGGCGCGGTGGGGCTTCCACTGAACGACCCGGTCGACACTCAGGCAGAAGCTGCGGAGGCGCTCGCGCCGGGCAGCGTACTGGAGAGCCCGACGGAGAGCAACATCAAGTGTGCATGCTGTAAGGCACCCTCTCGTGACACGGTCTTTATTCTCAAGACCCTTTCTAGGGTCCTATCCAGAGGGAGGCTTTGCCCCTCCCCAGGGGCTCGAGCGGATCCTTTCCAAGGTGGGGAAACAGTTCAAGGGAGTCATATACGGCTTCAACCAAGTCATCAAAGCTATACGCATATATCAATCCGATCGACTTCACCACCTCGAAAGCCCCCTTCTGCGCCCCTCACATGAGGCCATAACTTATGGCGAAGCGGTGCCTGTCGTGAGTGCATGGCTAACTTCCGCTTGAAACATCGACTTCGCCTGACGGCCATGGAACTGGTCATTAGCTACTCACATGCGCTCTGAAGATAGTCTCTAGCGCTCCGGGTCATATGCTTCCTAAGCTGCGGTGTCGAAACAGCTTCGAGCAGCATCTGGAGTACTTTGCGCGGCGAAGCGAGGCCATGCGCGACTACGAAGAATGGCTCGAGGGTGCGATCCGACAAGCACAGCCTTTATTTGAAAAGCACAGTGCGTTCCTCAAGCGAGAAGCGGAACGGAGTCGACAGGTATGGACGCATATGGCTGTTCGTGCTGCGGTACGTAGGACTTTCTACGTCGCATTGTCACAAACAGGTCGAGGCTGACGCGTTCTCTACAAGGCCATTGCGACGTTACCATTCGCCCCCGTCCTTTCCGCAGTGCTCACCGCCGTCGACGCCCTCGGCATCGCTGTTTACAACGGCGTAGAGGAAGTGTTGTCAGGCTCTGCCGATTATATTCAGCCCTTGTCTGCGGACATCGACGACCTCCAGAAGTCGCTACGACAGAGCGTTTCCCAGGCGCGGGAGACTCGCCGCAAGCTCATGGAAACATGTAAGAAGGCCGAGTGGCAGCGGGACGATCCCTGCGCATCTCGTCTCATCACATTCCAGCGCAAGCTTCGGGTGGTTGTCGACGTAGCTAACGAGGTGCTCGTGGGCGAGAAGAGCTCTGCTGTGGTGGTGCAGACAAGGTCACTCAGGGAGGTGACCAATGCGATTCGCGAGGTCATGAACGTGATTGGAGACCGGCCCGAAGGGGAGTTTTCGCTCATTGACTTGGAAGACTTTGAATGGCCTGAAGTGGACAAGGCTATGGCGGAAATCAGGGCGCTGTTACTAGTACAGACATCCTAGGATATTGATGCACGTCTGCTCTATTTTCCGTACTCATTCTGGTTAATCCCGCTCCCCGCTCTATTCAACCCCCACTCTATCCACTCCCCACTCTATCACTGCTATCGTTAGTCCTCGCCTTCGCTATGCGTATTCTTTCCATGTTCTCATGTCTATCCCAAGTTGTATATCAGGTACGTTATACTCCCACTTTCCACAGACTGTGACTTACTAACATCTTATCGAGCGACAGGCACCTCGCGTCCACGCTCTTGCTTTCATCCAGCATCTAGACCAATGTCTGTGTATATCGCTAATGCATCAAGTTTTGGTCAAGTCGCAATTGCCGCGATTATGCCCACATTACTATGTGAGTAGTTGGACGCCCGATTCTATCACCACAATTTCCGATAGATCATCTCCGCGCAACTCAGTGTACGCATGCAGCTCGGGGCCATATGTAGCCCAAATCTCGAAGACGCGTTACTGTGACTTGACCATACACCGTCCCTGCGAGGGCACGCTTCACTCGACACCGGGCGAATGTAACATGATCGGCGGAAACACATCGCATCGTACGCATCATTCATACAAACGGTCTACATTCTGGCGAGTATTCCGAAACCGCTCATATCCCCGCTTCTCTCTTCTGCTCCTTGCGTTGTAACAGGATGAACGGGACGAAGACCGTGATGATATCGAGACTCGGGGTAGCTTAGACGGACGCGGGCAGGCATCCGATGGATACGAGGCCTCCTAATAGGCAAGGTCAGCTTCCAACACTACGAACGATTATATGTAACACGTTAAGCTAACCGAAGCTGTTGTCGTCGCAGCAGACGGTGTTCTCGGAGCTGCCGAATATTTTTCAGCACCCTCGCCACGACTGTTATGCAGGGTATTCTTACCAGCTAGAGCCGCTGCCGACCCCGACAACGGTGATGGCCGTGCAGGTGACGCCGACGGGGATGTTGAGGTCCTGCACCACGACGCCGAGGCCCGCCAGGATCGGTGCCACGGCCTCGCTTCCGGCGGGCTCGACCGACTGGCAGCACTGGAGAGCCCCGGTGCTGCAGGATGCGTCCGCCGCGGGTGCGGGGGTGGCGACGGCAAGGATTGCGAGGGCGAAGAGTGTGAAGAGCTTGGCGAACATATTGGAGAGAAGGAAGAGTACTTGAACGACTGGTGAGTGCTGTTCGAGTGATGGGGATTGAGATAGCGCATCGACCTCTTTTATACCTCTACAGGGCCTTCGGTACTTGTATTGCATGGATGCGGTCAGATATCCAACGTATCCTGGCTCAAAGGATGGATGTCACATGCGGCATCAGTGCGTACGTGCAGCCACTCTTGTTCCTGACCTACTTACCTCATGCGAAGACGTCGTCGCTGTATGTCCGCGCGTCCTCCAGTATGACCTCGTTGCGCTCCACCTCGATCTTTGGGGCGCCGTGCTGGAAAACCTCCGAGGGAACATCGCTGACGTCGATTTCCGTACGTCCACTTCGACTGTTCATCAAAGCCTCGTATCTCACATCTGCTACTTCTGCAGGTTTGACGTTTATCAGGTGAGATGTTTTGATAGACATGCTGCTTCCCCTCACACCGCGAATGCAAAACCCCGTTACACACGAGACAGAGCAAGCCTAACTGCTGCCAAAGATGTGCTTCATCAGGCTCAAAAGCATATATCCAAATTTCTTATCCCACGGAGGAAAGAGGCATATGGCATCTTGCGCCTCAAGAGCGGCCTTCTTCCCAAACATGCGACTTCGGCGATCCCGCGGCCCAAATTATCTCGCACGGACCGGCAGCTACTCTCGTAGCATCTGAGCTCTCTATCAGGCCTTCCACGCTCCAACGACATGCTGCTCTCCCTCCACCTCATTTTACGAACCTGCGATATGCGGCGGTAATGAGGATATGACGCGTTCGGGCCCGCGTACGGTTTGCACCCCGTGCCTGAGCCTTGCTTCGTACGCGACCGGGTTGTGGGCTGACGGCCGTCCAATTCAATTGAAGCCGAGATGAACACGGATATCCTTGACGGAGGTCGCAATGAAGTCATCCCGGCGCGTGTCTGCGCGGGATTCTGAGGTGATCATATATCAAGCAGGCAGCCGCCCTAAAGCCGGAGCTGCGCCGGCGGTATGCGGACACCAGGACCTCGACATGGTGAGTGTTATATTCTATCAGGCGAGTTACTCTGTCGAACTCCGTTTCAGGGCGGCGTGTACTAATGTGTGAAGCATCCAGGTCAATTGTATCCGCCGAAACGTGTGTACCACGACTGCACTCTTAGCATATCACTACGTCCGCACGAGCGCCTCAAAGTCGCATGGCAGATCACGCACGAGAACATTCCCGTGGTTCGTGAGGGAGAACCCATACTATTTTGGGAGAAGCTGAACAAAGATTCGTGTCAGCGGGTCCGCCGGTTGTGCCACGGAGGATGTTCTTCGCTCAATCAACTCTCTCGGGGGACCCTTCGAGAGATTTTGCAATCTTTAGACGCATTGAATATCACACGAGAAGACACATGCTTCGCCGAACAATATGTCTCTGGACGATACATGACAGCTCAATACAATCCTGCTCCACTACTCGGCGCGCTATCCCCTTCCACCGCGCTTCCCCCTGCGAATTCGAGGCCGCCATTCAAAGCGTTACGGGGAGGCAGCCGATAGAAATCAGGGTTCCTATTGTACGAAGGTCAGTCAGATTTATCCACCACAACAGCGTAGTTCTGCGAATCAATCCTACCGTGTGAGTTGTCTTGGCAGCAGACGGCCTCGGCAGAGCTGCGAAGGAGTTTGTCAATCGTTTTTTCTTCGTCTGGAAACCTGTACCGCAATGACTTACCAGACATTGCCGGCGCCAACGCCAACGACGGAGATGGGCGAGCAATCGAGGCCAACGAGTGCGTTGACGTCTTGCACGACAACGCCGATGGAGTCCAGGATGCTGGTCGCAGCGGCGCTGTTGGCCTTGGCAGTTGAGTCGCAGCACTGGACGGGCCCGGTGCTGCAAGACGACGCGGGCTCCCCACCGGGGGTGGGGGTGGCGGCAGCAAGGATCGCGAGGGAGGCGATGGTGAAGAACTTGGCGAACATGGTGAGGATGAAGAGTGCGAGTGCGGCGGTGGATGAGTAGCGGAGTGTTGTTCGATGAGGTTGTCTTGTCAAACCGTCCGGCCTTTATACTACTAACGGCCATCCGTCATGCACATTGATGAGGGCGTATACCATGCTGCACGGCTCCACAACGCCCTTCATGTCTGGCCAGCGGCGACGAAAACGCCAGCTGCTCCTTCCACGATGCACGGCTCCGCATTGCGTCCAGGGCACAAACGTCGTAACTTGGAGTGACTGTTCGGTGATCCTGCTACATCTCCGTCGCCTTGTCGATCTCCCCGCTGTCTCGGGGGAAATAAACATACGTCATTCTAACTTACCGAAGCGAGCCTCATGAGGAGCCATGCCTAATTCCAGGTGCGTTTATTTCGAAGCGCGGACAGGGCGGTCCGGGTGCGCTTTGAGCGCCCCTCTACGACGCATTCTTAACCAAACTCGACCTCATGTTCGCCCTCGCTAGCCAGGAGGCGAGCGTATCCGACACGCTGCTCTGTGGGTTCCCATATATACGTGCGGGAGCTCCGGGTGCAGAGGAGCAGCGCCATCGAGGGCTTCCCGCAGTGTCACGGGCTCTGCAGTTCTTCGCGGCCCTTCGCTTCACGGACGCAGGCCAGAAACGCAGAGTATTCCGCGTAAAGCAGGAAGGCGACTGCGACTGATACGTTCTCGTAGTGTAAGCAACCGGCGGACGTAGGGTGGCCGCGGGCCTAGAACGACGCGGACGTGCGAGGCGCTTGGGGTACAGAAAGAATGCTGTGAACAGGAAAGACACATTAAGCACGTACGAGAACATACTGCAAACAGCGATTGTAACAAGATGCATCGCATAAGAGTCCATCATCCCCTCACCCCTCCTTGTGCAAACCAAAATAGGTGTCCATGAGCGCCACTAACAGCGCCCCGTAGTGCATGTCAAACGTCCGCGAGTCGAACGCCGCTAAGGACCGCCAGCCGCTCTCGACTCTACCACACTGATTCTGCAATTAGCAAGAGACCCGGACCCGAATCGATAACATATACTCACCAATTCCCCTGCGGTAGTAGTCGTCGTCGTCCCTCCAATCGTCTCCGAACAGATGTTGTGGGAAGAACCTCAAGTCGGCAACCAAATCCTCGAGTTTGTGGAGATAGCTGTCTCTTTGGTCGTCCTTGCCAGCGCTGCGATTGCTTATGGATACGTCCAGCGTGAGCGCGTGAAGGCGTAGGCCCGACTGTGCACGGAAGTTGAGTGTCTTCCACATCGACTCGAAGTCTTTTGCCAGACCGTCATACGAATAGGAACCTTCGAAACTCGTAAACCCGTCCAAGATGACCGAGCGCAGGGAGCTACAGCACTGTTTGCCAAAGAGCTTGGAGGCTGCCCAAAGCCCTGCCCACATCGACCTACACAGTCCCGCCTTGGTGATATGCAGTGTGCCGAGCGAACCAAACTCCTTGAAGAGCGTGATCCAGCGTTGTGCTTCGGGGTCGACTGACGTTACCAGCTGGCAGAGCTGATCGGCGTCGGTGAATTCCGTGGCGTCGGTGAACCTACCAGTAAAGTGCAGAGACGTGATCGGCGCCCCGCGACATAGTCCAGGGAGCGCCAAGACGGCGCACGCAGCTTCGGTCTCTTCCCAGTCTATGTTTTTAGGGCTAACTAGGGATAGCACGACGGTCGTGCCTTGAGGGCCCCGCATGTGCATCTTGTAGGCGCTCTCCAAGACGACGACGTCGACCGATGTGATCGTTTTCAGAGCCGCGAAGGTGTCTTGTGGGCTTCTGGGCAACATGTTGGCGATGTGTAGGGGCTCATCTGTCCACATGGTGAGGCTGACGATCGTGATGTCCGTCGCGTTCGGGAAGCGAAGATACGAAAGTGGGATAGCGGCCCCTTCGTAGTAGTATCCTGCGAGACGGAGAGTTCGCACCCGAGGGAGTGACACAACCGGCCGGCTTGCTCCACCGGCATTCCACGGTTGAAGGTGCTCCCAGTTACACTCCTCCCAGTCCTGCACCGAACGTTCTAAGTCCAGTTCGTCGATGTGGGTACATGTCGCGAGGACGTTCAACAAGGCAGCGAAGTCGAAACATGTGGTTTCGCACATCGTTAGACGTTGGAGGCGGGAGAAGCAGGTATCGCCGGCAGTGGGTTCCAGGCCGCGCATGGACAGCGAGCGAAGGGAAGGAAGGTTCTCGTGTATAAGCGGTAACAGGGGGGTTGGGTAGTGGTCTTCACAAGCAATGAACAAGTTATCCAGCACGGGCATTGGGCAGTTGCTGAGGATTTTCGCGAGATAGCGTGGGAAGCTCTTGCGCGTCCGCTCGAAACGCAGAGAACGAATGTCAGTGGCCCGATCCTTCAGTATGAGCGGGAGGGATGACCAAGGAAACCATGCATCCGCGAAGGAGATAGAGAGGGGAAGGCCCGAGATCGTGCGCTCGAGGGAGAGAGACAGGAGTTCCGGTGCGCGCTGGACCGCAATTGAGCGCCAAAATGACGGGTTTGAGACCACGAGAGCTCGCCAGTGGGCACAGACCGACGAAACCGCAATCCAGCGGCGCGCCATCCCTTTCGATTCAGGGAGGGCGAATATGCATGCTTGGACGACAAGGAGGATCTCGGCCAAGATCTCTATTGGCAGCATATTGACCGGTGCAAATCGCGACTTGAGGAGACGGTTCACCTCCAGCAGCTCTCGTTGTGTATCGGCCTGCACCTTGAGGAGAACACGTTGGCGTTCAAGTAAGGCTTCATTTGTCTGCCATCTTAAATCTAATTGGTATCAGCAGTTCATCCCATGATTTGCTCAAAGAAAATGGAGCAAAGCTTACCAGTGGTCATATTGGCGCTGGCGTGCGCTGGCACGAAGAATCGAACCCGAAGTCGCGATCACTACTCTTGGATCGACTGGCAGATACACGGAATAGTGTCCCGGTGTATTGATTCGTGTATGCGATTGGAACGAGCAGGTACCAGTGGTGGTAGGAAAGCAAAGGAGTATACTTAGACGGCTCGGACACAGCGCTAATTTAATTCGTGGTAATCTTCACAAGCGCCCGTCCCTGTGCAGTGCCGCTCGTATTCCTACAACATGTAAGTACGACACGACGAGCATATCGGACCAGCCGATACATCTTGGAGTCGCACGACAGAACAGAGCGTCCCGTGAGACTGAGGGGAATACCTCTGCAGCGAAGTATTGGGAGCGAGTGCACTGTGGTACCCACCCTCAACCGAACTTCTGAACCCACGAGGACCAGGTGCATATAACCCCGAATTTCTTATGTTGCTCTCCGTACAAAACTTAAGCCCTTTTTGTATAGACCGGCCAGACATAGACCGGCCAGATCTCGACTCAAGCCCTCAGAACGGCGACGTTGCGCCGTAGGGGACACCTCGGAAGATACTAGAAGCGACATCCGCCGCGAGCTTTCTCATGATGTCGGTCCATTCAGCATCTGTAGTATGTACCTGTTCTGTCGTTGCCGTTTACCTTATACTGATTGCTCATGGACCTTCTATTAGGTGTGCGACGTCTAGGTGAACAGGAACCTCCCAGGCGGGCAGGTCCTTCAAACTGTTCCGGTCGTTAATTGAACGTTCCGTCTCGGATCTCTGATGACGAACGTAAATTCCCCGAAACATATCCGAGGCTGGAAATGGAAACGGACGCTACGGTCGCGCTCATTCGTCAAATTTCAGCGTTGCATCTCTCGTACTACTGGGTGAGTGCAGTTGACACTAGGCGGTCGTGCATCCAGGCACCGGGTAGCGAAAAGTTCACATGTCCGGAATTTGCTCTAGGCCCACGCGCAAGCACGTAGGCCGACAGTCCCGTAACCCCCAACACAGTGCCCCACAACCCGCCGGTACCTGGCGATCGACTAGCTTGTGGCGCCCGGGCCGGTCGAAATTGCTCGACCCCAGCTGAGCAAACAAGCTGACAAACAGCTTTACGCAGTATGTCCGCCGTGTCTCTCATCTTCTCAGTGTCAATATCTTACGTATATCATATTTTGAGTGTAGGTTGTGGACGATTACTACCACGACGCCCGCGAAATGGTCGCGTAATATTACCGGAGCATCCGCCGTATAAACGGCGGTACGCTCGAACATAGGTTTACTGTTCAGGAAGCAACAGTGGCTGTCGATCAGTCATGTGTACCTCTGCGCAGGCCCGAACCCGCACTGCTGCTTCTATGCGCTCGGGGAAAATACAGTTTCCAAGATCGCAGCTAGCCTTTATTGTGGACTTATGTTAGATTCGCATCTCCCCCTGTTCTTCCCTTCTAGCGTCTTGAGGATGGATCGCGGACGCCCACAGAAGCCTGGTAGTCTCCTTTGGCGCGGTCCGCCGGCGAGATCAGAGGATTCTACTCGCCGCCGCACGGTCGCCCAAAAAATCCTGCCACATCAATTGCCTTGCCCCCATGGTTGCTCTAAATGATTCCAAAAGCAGGTCCCTCACGATGGCAGCGGTAACCCCCAACTTTGTGAGTTTCGACCGTCACTCTAAGCCGCACATGGATGAACCATTTCTATTACCTCACAGGCGGCAATCTCGCATGCCAGCCGCGCAGCTGACCTGGTGACACCGACACAAGCGCCGGATGGGAGGGCTGTTTCTCCTCGCCAAGCTGGTTTCAGAGAGTTTTCTTCGGCGCGTGGTGACCGCTAGCGAGGCGAGAGGCCAGCGAGGAGGGCTGTCGCCTGCGCCGCATTGCTTGAGGGGTCTGCGGCGGGCCGGGGGGCCCGCGAGCCAGTCAGGAACGAGTTCATTGATGCTTCCCCGCAATCTCGATCGCGGCCCGTGGGGTAACACCCGCGTGCCCTACGTCCATCGACCCCCGATAAAAACCCCGCATGGGCTCTCTGCGTGCTTCGGCGGCCTCCTTCGTCTTCCCCTCCACCATCCTCGTCGCATCCCCCAGCGAGCGCGCACGTTCACGATGGACAAGGCCGGCATCTTCCAGAACATTCGGGTCTACTGTGCGTCTCATCTCTCTCTCTCTTCCCTTCTGAGCATCGGCACGAACGGAAGTCGTTGATTTATTCGGGCGGATCTAGGGCTCGCGTTCATTGTGTACTGGGGCATCGTCTTGTTCGGTTACGATACGTGAGTTCCGACGACCTTAGCATGCTACTCGCGACTGACATACCTGGCGGCGCGACAGCGGTATCGGCGGTGGTGTAGTCTCGCAAGACTACTTCAAGACACATTTCGGTCTCGTTAACGCCGATGGGTCACCGAACACGAAGAAAGCAAACGATGTGTCGTCTAACGTCGTCTCAGTGCTCCAGGCCGGTGCATTCTTCGGCGCGCTAGGGAGTGCCCCCATCTCAGGTATGCATATTCTTCTCTTCACCTTCCCTGGCGTTAGAGGGCTCCCTATCTCTTGAAAATCATGTTCAGCGGCAGACGTTCCTTGGAACAAGGGAACGGGTGTGACGGGGATGAGTGGCTGGGCGAAAGCAGTCACTATCTGAGCACGTCGTTCATGCCACATCTATCCCCGTCCTGTTACGCTTCCTTTCGACGCGTTGCGTCGGCCAACGGGCTGGAGGACAATGCGCTGTAAGTCGAAAAACGAGTGAATCGTCCAGTATGAAATGGGCGACCTCGCTTGCAGTGGGAGCGGTTGCGTCGGCCAGGAAGCGGCAAGATGAGGAGCGCGACGTGACTCGCGTGCGTCTCACTCGACCGCTCCTTGCCCATGCCAAAGCAGCTCAGCGAGTGCGTTCCGTGGGCACTCGCGCCAGACGACAGGGTTGTCTGCCGGGCGGGGACGTAACCTGCCGCTGAGGGAGAAGAACTATTGCTAACTACGGATTTCAGCGGCTCTCGGCCGGAAATGGTCCCTGTTTTCCTTCACGGTCATCTTCGCCGTCGGTGCTGTACGTACCTTTCTTTCCATCTTCTCGCTATCCACTGAAGAGTCCTTCCCAGGTTTTGCAAACTGTCGCCGGTGGCTCGCGCGGCTTGGGCTACATCTACGCCGGCCGAGTAATCGCCGGTATCGGCATCGGTGCGATATCTGCCGTTGCGCCCGCCTATGTTTCGGAGTGCAGCCCCAAGGAGGTCCGCGGTCGTATCACTGGTCTTTTCCAGATCATGGTCGCTGTCGGCGTGATGATTTCATATTTCATCAACTGTAAGTCCGAACTATTAGTCATTCTGGCGTCTTCGCTCACGTTGTCTCTTTCAGTGGGAATCAGCTTGCATATGCCCACAGGCTTCGGCGTGTGGCGCATCCCTTTCGGCTTCCAGCTGGTGCCGGCGGGAATCATGGCGTTCGGCCTGCTCACCGTCAAGGAGTCCCCGCGTTGGCTCGCCTCCAAGGGCCGCATCGACACCGCCATCACCAACCTCGCGTACATGCGCAAGCTGCACCCCGACGACGAGCGGATCCGCTCCGAGATGGCTGAGATCGAGGCCGCCATCGAGGAGGAGCGTGAAGCGCGGAAGGGGCTCGGCCTGCGCGAAGCGTTCCTCGGCAAGGGTAACTTCATCCGCTTCGTCATTGCTGTCGTTATCTTCCTCTTGCAACAATGGGGCGGGCAGAACTCGGTCAACTACTACGCGCCTCAGATCTTCCAGTCGGTAAGTGATTGTATGCGCGGAGTTTTGGGAAGGTGGGCCGCTGATAGACATGTGTGCAGATCGGGTACAGCGGCACGTCGAACTCGCTTCTGGCGTCGGGGATCTATGGAATCGTGAAGGTGGTCGCGACGGCGCTGTTCGTGTTCTTCCTCGTCGACTCGCTCGGGCGCAAGCTGTCGCTGTTCATCTCTTCCGTCGGCATGGGCGTCCTGTTCTTCATCATCGGTGCACTGCTCAAGACGCACCCGCCGCCGGCGCACCCCGCTGACGGCGCGACTCCGCCTCCTGCGAGCAAGGCGATGGCGGCGATGTTGTACCTCTACGTGTGCTTCTACAGCATGGGATGGGGACCGCTTCCGTGAGTATTCCGTTCGCTTGTTCTTGTATGAAAGAAGCACTGAATTTCATTTGCGCGTAGATGGGTGTATGTCGCGGACATCTTCCCCACGCGGACCCGGCATTACGGTCTCGCTACGGCTAGCGCATCGCAATGGCTGTTCAGTACGTTAATGACTGCCCGCTATGCACTATCCCGCTCTGAACAGTTTGCACGCGTAGACTTTGTGCTCTCGAAGGTCACTCCCACGTTGGTCACCGACCTTGGGTACAAGATTTTCCTGATGTTCGCGACGATCAACATCGGCGGCATGGCCACCTTCGCTCTGTACGTACACAAGTCTTCTTACTGTATCGCGGGAACATTCGCTGACTGTATTTCAGCCTTATCCCGGAGACGAAGGGCCGCAGTCTGGAGGAGATGGACGTCATCTTCGGCACCGTTACGGCCGACCAGCGGCAGGCCGACATTGTGAAGCAGGAGCGGGGTGCGTCGCGCGTGTATTGCTCCCGGGGATTTACCGATACTCATCCGCGTTTTGCACTTTCTAGCGTTCGACCATGCGGCGAACGAGACCCGGTCAGAGCAGTCGATCGAGAACAAGGTCTGATGTACCTTGCCTCAGAGTGCTCGCGCACAGTCTGTGCGTCTCTTCGGCGCTGTCTCGCCCTCGCTCTACGAAGTACGATACTTGCTTGACGTGCTATGAACCCCCCACGAATTTTTCTCATTGCTGCCTGGGTCTTGCACGATTACATGATTGCGCGCTTGTCTTCCGATGTTGCTGTACATTATCTGGTCGGATGTTGTATTATTATGCTCTTTGGATCTTGGAATTTCGGATGTCTTCTTGGATGCGGCATCAGGAGATGCGACGCGGGTATGTGCTCCGCGACGACTCCGCGATCCCATCCACCATGTGCATTTCATCTCAACCCTGCTGCGCGTTATGACCCTTGAGTCGTGTTCTCGATGTAAGCATGTGCAAGTCTCTACTATGGGCGCCTATACTATTCGAATCCGGCTCGTCGCGACATATGTCATCTCATGATAACGGCGTACTCTTCACAAAGAAGCACAATCTCAAGCGGAATTCATGTCACCGTCGGTACCGCGTATGTCGCCGCTTATATATGAGGCGACAGATGAGCGCAGCCAGGATCTGCCCCTTTCTTCCTTTCCCCCATCATCATCCGTCTGCAGCAGGCGTAGGCGCAGTCCATACACCCGTCTCCTCGCCTCCACGACTCTCTATGCCGGCTTTATCCATATAATCTGGCAGCTATGCAGTGTATCCCAGAGGCCTTTGCAACTCCGGCTGCCAGGCTCCGCGAAATTGGTGTCAAGCACGTAGTTGGTCGCGCGGGCAATGGCATGGATGTCTAAGTTCTGGTGAGTACCACTACGCCGAAGATGATACCTTATTCTAACTACGCATATAGCCGCTCAAAATAAGTACTTACATCGCACGATGTCCAGCCAAGAACTGTTGTCGGACGGCGTCGATGATCGCCTGCCCAAGGGTGCGGTACGGCGAGCGCCGGCTCATGGCGGCCCCGATCCCATCTTAAGATCTCTAAGCAGGATTATCTTATCTCCGTCAGTAAGTCGATCGGTCTGCTTTCAAGTTCGAGTCAAAATTTCGAGCAAGCCTCTCTCTCTTCCCCTCCCAACTACAGACATGGCCCCTCTTACCCACCGCTCGATCAAAGGTGTGTATGTGTATCAATCACTCGTTCAGATCGAAAGTTGACGATATCACCCTTCAGATGGCTGGTTCCGGGAGATCTCATCGCAATGGCCGGGCCAGGCGATGACCCTCAAGGTCAACCGTATCCTCCATGTCGAAAAGTCCTTGTACCAGGACGTGCTCGTGTTCGAGTCCGCGACGTATGGAAACGTACTCGTTCTCGATGGTGTCATCCAGTGCACTGAGCGCGATGAGTTCTCGTACGTATTCCTACGTTGAGATCGCGGATCGATCGTACTGAACGCAGAACAGGTACCAGGAGATGATCGCCCACCTTCCCTTGGCCAGCCACCCGAACCCGAAGAAGGTGCTCGTCATTGGTGGTGGCGACGGCGGCGTCGTCCGTGAGGTGCTCAAGCACGACACCGTCGAGCAGGTCGTCCTCTGCGACATCGACGAGGTTAGTTTCAAGGGAAATATGGATCGTAGTGACTCATGTTCACATGTTCCCAGGCGGTCATCCGGGTGTCTAAGCAATTCCTGCCCCACATGTCGTCGCTGCTCAACGACCCGCGCGTGACCGTGTTCGTCGGAGATGGCTTCAAGTTCCTCGCGGACAACACCTCAACCTACGATGTCATCATCACCGACTCTTCTGACCCCGTCGGTCCCGCTGCCTCTCTCTTCCAAAAGCCGTACTTTGAGCTGCTCCGCGATGCGCTCACGCCCGGCGGCCACATTTCCACCCAGGGCGAGTGTCTCTGGATCCACCTCGCACTCATCGAGGACCTGCTCAAGACTACCCGATCCCTTTTCCCCGTTTCGGAGTATGCATTCACCACCATCCCCACATACCCCTCTGGTCAGATCGGCTTCATGGTCTGCTCCAAGGAGGCTGGCCGTGACCTCTCGAAGCCGCTCCGTACCGTGCCGAACACGCGGTACTACAACTCTGAGGTGCACAAGGCGGCCTTCGTACTCCCCGAGTTCGGCCGCTCTCTGCTCAAGGACGGCAAGGATCTTCGCCCTGTGTTCGGTGCCAACGCGGCCTCGAAGGCGCCCAGCAAGAAGGTCCTCCTTCTCGGCAGCGGCGCTGTCGCGCGCCCGTGCGCGGAGTACGTTGTCCGCAACCCCGAGAACTCGTTGACGATCGGTATGTTAGTTCTCACAATCTAGCAAGATGCTTCGCTCATCTTTCTTAGCTTGCCGCACGTTGGCGAGCGCGCAGGCCCTTGCTGGAGAGCTCCCCAACACCACCGCCGCGTCGCTCGACGCCGGCTCTGAGGACCCTGCGAAGCAGGCTGCCCTCGAGAAGGCGATCGGGGAGCACGACCTCGTGATCTCGCTCGTCCCCTACACCTTCCACGTCAACGTCATCAAGGCGGCGATCAGGACTAAGACGAACGTGGTTACGACGAGCTACATCAGCCCCGGCATCCGCGAGCTCGAGGACGAGATCAAGAAGGCAGGTATCGTTGTCATGAACGAGATCGGCCTCGACCCTGGTGTCGACCACTTGTACGCGATCAAGACCATCGACGAGGTCCATGCCAAGGGTGGCAAGGTCAAGGAGTTCCACTCGTTCTGCGGCGGTCTCCCCGCGCCCGAATGCTCCGACAACCCCCTCGGCTACAAGTTCTCGTGGTCTCCTCGCGGTGGCCTCCTCGCGTTGCTCAACGACGCGGCGTACCTCGCGGATGGCAAGACGGTCGAGGTTCCGGGCAAGAACCTCATGAGCGTCGCGAAGTCGTACTTCATTACGCCTGCGTTCGGTTTCGTTTCATACCCGAACCGTAACTCTGTACCGTTCCGCGAGTACTACAACATCCCCGAGGCGGAGAACGTGATCCGCGGCACCCTGCGCTACCAGGGCTTCCCCGAGTTCGTCAAGGCGCTCGTCGCGCTTGGCTGGTTGAACATTGAGAAGAAGGCGTGGCTGAAGGAGGGCCTGACCTGGGCGCAGGTCATGCAACAGGCCATCGGCGCGTCGGACGCGAGCGAGAGGTGCGTTTCCCCTGTTCACATGCGCAGCAGAATACTCAAAAGCGATGCTCTATGTATAGCACTCTGGTCGCGCGCGTCAAGGAGCTCTGCCAGTTCCCGAACGAGGCCGAGAGCCGTCGCATCATCTCCGGCCTGAAGTGGATCGGGCTGTTCACCAGCGAGCCCGCGACTGTACGGGACGGGACCCTGCTCGACACGCTGTGCGCGCGCCTCGAGGTCCTGATGAAGTACGAGGACGGCGAGCGCGACTTGGTCATGCTCCAGCACAAGTTCATCGTCGAGTGGGCGGACGGCACCACGGATACCATCACGTCGACGCTCGAGGCGTACGGCGAGCCGCAGGGGCACTCCGCGATGGCGCTCTACGTCGGTGTACCGTGCGGTATCGCGGTGCAGCTCGTGCTCGACGGCGTGTTCAAGACCCCCGGTATCATCGCCCCGTACTCGAAGGAGATCTGCGACCCGATCCGCGAGGTTCTCGAGCAGCAGGGCATGGGGCTTACCGAGAAGGTGCTCTGAGCGTGATGGTTTGTTGGAGAGAAGATCAAGTAAAACTGTAAAGTGACGAAATGCCTGCAGCGTGTATGAGTCTCACTACGTTGTATCATCAATAGATTGTTGTTTGCAGGATCAGTTCAAAGTGGGACATCCAAGTTCTCCTCATCCGTCAGGCGGTCCCGAGGTCTGGTTCGGGCATCTACGGTCGCGCCCCCTTCGTCATGGGCCAGGTGAAGCGCGGGACCGGTCACCGCGGTAGTTTGACCGTTGTCGTAAGTCCTCCCTTCATTTGCGCCCGTCCGCCCCACAACATGCTGTCGAACATCGGCGATTGCGCGTGTTCTCGACGGCGATGTCACCCAAAGTTCAAACGTTGGCGGATGGATGGTATGTGGATCTTCCCCGTATAGTTCACTGCGCGGTTGACAGCCTGAGATAGACGCTACGGAACCGCGCCCGGCTTCTTTCATGAGGCCCGCTTAGGACACACTGACGTATGTTTCTTCCTCCCGGGACAGCGCGTAACTTGGCGGGATGACACGGCGGAACAAGATGTGGCAGGGCCAACAACAGTCGACTCCATGTTACGAGACTCGTGCCCCCTTCGACGACGCAATGTGGAGCCGTGCGTCGTGGTACGCGCAGTCTGGCCTCGTTTCTTTGCGAGGTCAGAGCGCGCGAGTAACGCTCGTTGGAAGGTATAAAGGTAGGGCGAGTTTGCGGGTCAACCTCATCGAACAGCCCACCGTTGCTCATCTACCGCCTCACTCGCACTCTTCATCCTCATCATGTTCGCCAAGCTCTTCACCGTCGCCTCCATCGCGATCCTTGCTGCCGCCACCCCCACCCCCGGTGGGGAGCCCGCGTCGTCCTGCAGCACCGGGGACCTTCAATGCTGCGACAGCGTCGAGAAAGCCAGCGACCCCGCTGCGGCGGGCATTCTCGCCCTCCTCGGTATCGTCGTCCAAGATGTCGACGCGATGGTCGGCCTCACCTGCGACCCCATCACGGTCATTGGTGTTGGCAGCAGCGGTTCTTGGTGAGTTGTGATCGCGCACCTTCTTGAGCGCGACCGCATGTCTGACGTACCGCTTTGTAGCTCTGCCCAGGCTGTCTGCTGCTCGGACAACTCCCACGGTAGGCTTCATCTGCAGGACTGAGTTAGGATGAACAACCAATCTGAATCATCTTCTCGGAACAGGTAGCGCCGTCTCTATCGGCTGCGTCCCCGTGACGCTCTGAATGGCGGCCTAACGTAGTAGTGGAAGGTGGGGGAAAGGGGGTCGTCTGTCGTAGTGGAGCGAAGTCGCGTTGAGGTGTCATGTATCCTTCTGAATCAGAGTTGTGCGTTTGCGAAGCTTGATGATCTTCTCGTGTGAACTTCGACGCGCCTGAAGCTTGTAAAATTTGCAGAAGGAGCCACAGCGGGAGGCGATTGAGCGAAGATCACATCCTTGTTAAGGTGGTAAGCCTGTTGCCCTGCGGCGCTACCGACGGACCCGCGGGCGCGGACCCTGATTCTCGACGGGTTGCTTCCTCCAAAGGCGAAACATACGGGTATTGTTTTACGGCCTACGGCGATGTACTCGTGTGATCCACCGTGCACCGTGGAGGCGCTCGAGAGAATATGCTGAAAATATGGTGGCTTTTGTCCATGCGCCCACGGTCCAACTGCGTATGAGTTGCTGAAATCCTTTCGACATTAGTTGAGACAATACATCCGTGACTGGACCTTAACGGAAAGCACTCAGAAGGATTGTGCGACGCGCGCCATGATGTCAATGCTTGGCCAGGTCCCCGCACGCCGCCGGTGGAGTCGCGGCTTTAAGGCGGCTGTTCACCTACACGCCTAGGAAGGCCGCGTAGACACACGCTCGGATGACTTCATTGTGACGCTCCGCATAGAAGCAGCAGCGCAGAGCCTACGCAGAGGTACACATGACTATGATCGGCAGCCGTTTTTGAGCGTGTCGCTCGTGGGGCAGAGAGGTCATGTTAACGGCGAGTGTCCCAGCGGGACCGCACGAGTGTTTGGCGAGCGGCGTGACATTCCGCCGCCTATGCACAGAGGATAATGTACGTGAGGTATTTTGGAAACTGGACAGAGTGGGCTGGTGGACGTACAGCCAGTCTGCGTAAAGGTGTTTTTGTTCAGCTGGGGCTAGGTTCGAGAAATTTCAACCGGCCCCATGGGTGCCCCAAGCGAGACGATAGGCAGGTACCGACGGGTTGTGCGGCGCTGTGTTGGTGGGTTACGGGACTATCTGTCGACATGTCGTCCATCTTGCGCGGAAGGCCCGGGCCAAAGCGAAGACTGAACTTGTAAACGTTCAACGTCGGTGCCTGGATGTACGCTTAGTGTCAACTGCGCTGGCTTGGTATCAAGAATGCAACGCTAAATCGTGCTTCAGGGTGAGCGCATTCCTATCGTTCTCTTGCTTCAAAGACAGGCCAGCCTGAAGCATGAAAAGCTCTTCGTAGAGCTCGCAAGCCTGGTAGAATAGCAATCAGCGATTTGTCAAAAGTGAAAAGCAAGGGAATACTGAATCACGTCCTCCAAAGTTCACGATGTTGTAGCTCGCCGTCCTGTGCACTGAGGTCTGCCCAGGTCAGACTCTGAACTTACCGGGGATGCAGCAGTTAACCGCCGCGTACCGAGCCAGACATCATGTTTCGCGACTTGCTGGCCGGCGTGCGAACGGCCCGGTACTATTGCTGCCAATGTGTCGCTGCATTGGCAGTACTTTCCTTTTATGAGTTGCTGTATGTCGTTTATGAGGATCCAGAACGTATCAAGTCGGTACGACATGATCGTCGAGTCCAAGGACGAGCGGCATCGATTTCGGCGCTTCCGGAAGTCGCCAGGAAGTTTAGCGCTGCGGAGTCGTGCCGCACCCACTGGCGGTCCGCCGGCCACTTTGCTCTCCTACCACTGCTACCGCCTGTACTCAGAAACGTTGCTGGCTAGACTGGGACGATCTGGTACTCTTCCACAAGAATTTGGACTCCGTAACTGCCAGTTGCTTCAACAGTAGTTTCCCAGGGATCCCTTGCCTCAAGTTCAAGCTTTCCTATTATTTCTGGAGCTTGCGCCACTGGCAACATGGCTTCTGGTAAGCTTTGTTCTATTTTGATGACAAAATATGGAACGAAGTGTCCTCACTTGAGGGTGTAACAACTAGAATCAAGAGGAGATACAAGTGGGACTTTACTTCCTCAACGAGGCGCTCTTCTCGAGGAGCAGGCCGATATTCAGCAAGAACACCAAGTTCTGAAAGTACGGGATCGTCTCCTCGAGTCGAAGTCAGCGCCGATCAATACACTGCCCGTGGAAATCTTGGCCGAGATACTCCTTTTCGTCCAAGCATACGTATTCGACTATCCGCCTGAGAAGTATGGGACGGCATGTCACTGGATCAACGTCTCGTGGGTCTGTGCTCACTGGCGAACCGTTGTGGTCTCCAACTCCTCGTTTTGGCGCACAATCGCAGTGCGGCGCGGTCCGCAACTCCTTTCTCTCGCATTGGAGCGCACGATCCGGGGCCTTCCCTTCGCCATCCTATTCGAAAACGCATCGTTTCCCTGGTCATCCCTCCGGTCCATACTCCAGGATCGAGCCAATGACGTTCGCACTGTTCGCTTCGAGCGAGTGGACCAGAAGTTCCGAAAGTCTTTCCCGAGCATTTTCAGAGATTGCCCGATGCCTGCACTGGAGGAACTGGCTGTCTTCAGTTGCGACTCGCTCACATGTGCGGCGTTGCCGCTCAATCAAGATGACTTCCCTGCCCTCCGCTCACTGTCCTTGTATCTCCTGGACTGCCTCGCCAACAATACCCTCCTCTCTCGCCTCCGCCATTTGAAGATGCACGATAGCGGATGGGAGGTCGAGTTCGGCGTTTTCTTGGACATGCTGGAGGCGTGTACGCAGCTCGAAGAGCTGGACCTAGAGTTCGCACTGCCGCAAGTGGAAGACTTCCCTGCCGACGAGATCCTTCGGGTTGCCGATGGATCCCGTAGGCCAACGGTCTCGCTACCTCGGGTGCGTACTGTGCGGCTTGATCGACACCCCCCTGAATGGACCGTCACTGTCCTACCCTATCTTTGCTTCCCGAACGCAACCGATATAACGGTCATCAGCGACGTGAGGTCGCCTATGCGGTGCAGGGACGATCCCGTGAACATCGCCAGCATGTTTCCCAAGGACCCTGCCGACACCTTCCCGGTCTTCAAAACGGTCACTTCAGTGGTTGTCGACGTCTACAACAACCTCTACGAGATGCGCATGCAGGGTCCTCATGGTGCGACTGTACTGCTTTCGGCGGATGACGGCGCGGCGCTCTGGCTGGAGGCCGATGCTGCGTGCGCCGTCTTAGCGGTGCCTAGCATCTGCCGCGGGGCGCCGATCACCTCTCTGCGCTTCACGGGGGCGTTCACTATCCTTCCTAAGCCGCTCCCCGGGCCCTCGATAGCGTCGATAGATCCTGACGCACAGCGCTGGATAACGCTCTTCACGACGTTCGGCTCTCTCGACACGCTGCATCTCACTACGGGCGGGCTGTGCAGGGCGATGTGGGAAGGGCTTTGGGCGGTAACTAACACCTCTGGCGATCAGTGCTGCCCTTCCTTACGCTCGATAATCCTAGACCAGGAGATCGTGAATGGCTGGGAGTGCTATTCAGACGATGCCCTAGAAGACGACTTCGCTTCGATGTGGAAGGCCCTCATCCTCCGCGAACAGTTAGGCTTGCACCTCCACGCACTCACGCTGAAAGTGGGCGAGTACAATGATACCATTGGGCTGGCCGACCAAAGAGACATTTACTTCGAAAAGCTCAAGAGTTTGATTACCAATTTGGTGTTCCCAGAGCATACTATTCGAGTTCACGAATACGACTCGGGCAAGACCGAAGACTAATCGGACTGGGACAGGACCTGTGAGTATCAAAGTTTCGCGGATTCGAGTCACTTACTCATTGCAGAGTCGTCTACCAGAGCTCGTCTCGCGGCACTGGGTGGCGCTCTACTGGCGGGAATTTGATGCGTAATATGGGCGTCATCTCGAGCCATGATGGCCACAGTTTAAGACTGTGTAAATATGTAGGAGTGGCATAAGATTGACGGCGTCTCGTTCAGTACGTCTTGTTACAGCAAGATCCTGCGGTACGCTTGGAACGTACCTAACAGCACGCGGGATACGCTCACCCCCACCTTGAGTCGTCATGGGCGTGTCGCCGAGGGGTACATCATGTAGATGGCGGCGCTCGGAACTAGGCGCTGCCAGTGGATTAGGCGTGGTTTCTCATGACGTATGTTCAATCTCCCGAGACAGCGCGCGCCTGCGTAAACCAGTCGGACGACATGACGGCGAGGCACCAGGGTTGCTGAAAGGCGCTCCGGTTTGCGATGCTCGTGCCCTAAACGCAATGCGGAGCCGTGCATCGTGGAAGTAGCTGTCGGCGCTGTCCTCAAGTCCGACGAGTCGTCACAGGCGAGGCTAGAGCGCTTGCCAAAAGACGATGTGGAGTGGTGCAGCATCACGGTGTACGCTGCTCAGCGCGTCTAGGATGGTCGTCAGCGGTATAAATATTGGACAGCTTGACGGGACAACCTCATCGAACAACCCACCGTTACTCATCCACCGCCTCACTCACACTCTTCATCCTCATCATGTTCGCCACGCTCTTCACCGTCGCCTCCCTCGCGATCCTTGCTGCCGCCACCCCCACCCCCGGTGGGGAGCCCGCGTCGTCCTGCAGCACGGGGCCCATCCAGTGCTGCGACTCGGTCCAGAAGGCCGACAGCGCCGCCGCGGCTGGCATTCTCGCGGCCATTGGCGTCGTCGTCCAGGACGTCACCGCACAAGTAGGCCTCACCTGCTCGCCCATCACCGTCGTCGGTGTCGGCTCCGGCAGTTCTTGGTGAGTCGTGACCATGTTGCTTCCATAGGCGTGAACGCATAGCTGACGAATCGCATTATAGCTCTGCTCAGGCTGTCTGCTGCGAGGACAACTCACACGGTAGGATTTACCTGCAGGACTGCGCTACAATGAAGAGCAAATTTGACTTACATTTTGATCACAGGCGGCCTCATCTCCATCGGTTGCGTCCCAGTCACGCTCTAGATGGCGTCCGCAAACGTGGTGGAGTGCGGAGGAGAGGGGGTCGTGCGTCGGGTAACAGCACAAAGTCTTGTCCGGTTGTCGTGTATCCTTCCAAATCAGAGTTGTCCGTTTTCGAAGCCCGATCGTCTTCTCGTGTGAACTTGGATGCGCTTGAAACTTGTACAAACTTTAGAAGGAGCCCCGGCGAGAGGTGATTGAGCGAAGAACACACTTCCGCCGAGGCCGGAAGCCTCTACCCTACGACGCTGCTGGCGCGGGCCCTTGTTCTCTACGGGTTGCTTCTTCCAAGAGCGGAACATGCGGGTAATTTGTTACAGCTTACGGCGATGTTTTCGTGTGATCTGCCACGCACTTTCGAGGCGCTCCATTACCGCCGGATGCGGGAATATGCCGAGAGCACGGTGGTCATCGTGCATACGTTCCATTGCATATAACCTACTCAAATTCTTCCGATGTCAGCTAATACAGTACGTCCGTGACTAGCCATCGAGGAGGAGCACTTACCACGTATCCAAGACGTATCGTACGGGGCGCGACATGATGTTAACGCCCTGGTCCCGCGCGCCGCCGGCGCAGTCGCGGCTTTAAGGCGGCTTGTCCACCTACACGCCTGAGAAGGCCGCGTAGACACGCGCCCGTATGACTTCATTGCGACCTCCGCCCAGAATATCCGCGTTCATCTCGGCTGGGAGTGAATTGGACGGTCGTCAACAACACACCGCCGGCTCGTGTACGGAGCAGACTCAGGAACGGGGTACAAACCGTACGCGGGCCCGAGCGTGTCACTTCCTCATTACCGCCACGTATCGCAGGTTCATGAAATGTAGTGGAGGAAGAACAGCGTGTCGATGGAGCACGGAAGACCTGGTGGGGAGCTCAGGTGTTCAGAGCAGTTGCCGGGCCGTGCAAGATGACCTGGACCGCGAGATCGCTGAGGCCGCGTGTTCGTGAGGAAGGCCGCTCTAGATGCGCGAAGATGTCATGACTACTTTCCTCCGCGAGATGAGAACGTCGGAAATATGCTTTTGAGCCTGACAGGTTACGTTTTGGGTGCGGCGGTGCTTGTATCGCTTAGAGGCGGAGTGTTATTTGGCAGGCGCGGGAGGAAGCAACAAACGGAACGCTATGCATGCAGGGGTCGGAGTCGTGAGAGGTGATGCACTGATGAACAGTCGAAGCGGGCAACGCGTTGGCGGTGATTCAGCAGTCGACCAGTGATATTGTCTCGGAGGTTTTTTGTCTTGGGCCCCAAAGATCGAGGTGGAGTGCAGCGAGGTCACAACGGAGGGCGCGCGGACATACAGCGATGACATATGCAATGAGGTATGTTGAGAACCGGTGGAGCATAGCGCACGGTCTGACGCCGCATGCGGCCTTCAACCTCGCTGCGACATGGTCGTGTCCGGTACCAGCCTATGAGGACGTCCATGCGGTATAAACACCGAGAGTCCTGTAGCGGTATAAAAGGCATCAGCGTCCTCTCCGAGTCCTCATCACTCGAACAGCCTTCACCAGTCGTTCAAGTACTCTTCCTCCTCTCCAACATGTTCGCCAAGCTCTTCACGCTCTCCGCCCTCGCAATCCTTGCCGTCGCCACCCCCGCACCCGCGGCGGACGCGTCCTGCAGCACCGGCGCCATCCAGTGCTGCGACTCCGTCCAGAAGGCCGACAGCGCTGCCGTGGCCCCCATTCTCGCGGGCCTCGGTGTCGTCGTGCAGGACGTCAATGCCCTTGTGGGCCTCACCTGCTCGCCCATCTCCGTCGTCGGCGTTGGAGGCAGCGATGCCTGGTGAGTCGCGGCCGTGCAGGTTTCAAGTGTATGAGCGCGCGGCTGACGATCTGATTTGCAGCTCTGCCAACGCTGTCTGCTGCCAGGACAACAGCTTTGGTTAGCTTCACGCGCTTTATCTCTTCGTTCGGAGAACTAGACGCTAACCTTCAATTTTAGGTGGCCTCGTCTCCATCGGATGCGCGCCCGTGTCGCTCTAAGACACTCGACACCACCACGACCCATGCCTCGTTCGTCACGCCACCACGCTGCCAAGATGCGCCTCATGGAGTAGGAGGAAGGAGCGGGGATATGTGACGGGGCTGTTTCGGAGTACTCACCAGAATCAGAGTGTGGATCGTTTGTATGGAGATTGTGAGGAGGACCCGCCGCGCCCAGAGGGCACACTGTGATCGTGCGGAAATGGTTTGAATGACCTGACACACCTTCGTGACTCTCCGTGACTGTGTACTGCAGAATTCGGCGCGCATGCTTCTGAGGATCTTGGACATGTTTCGGATTGACGGGAGAGCAAATACACAGATACCGGGCTGAGCAGCTAGAGACGAAACATCTACATCTCGGACCAAGGAGATCAGTATAGGAAGCGCGGCGCCAATAGACGGAGATGAGAGTACACACCTGATATACAAGAAAGGAACATGGGTATGAAAGAAGCACGCAAACCAAAACTCTAGAAGAAACGACAACGATAGCGGACGTAGATCGAGGGAAACCAATGCCAAGAGAGAGCAGAGAAAGAGAGGGAAGGCGTGAACCGACGTGTTAGGATGGTTGCCTGGGTGACGTTGCTCCCAATTCCGCCATCGTCTCATCCAACCGAATCCACTCGGAATCCTCCACATCCACGAGCGAAGTCACACCCTCAGGCGGGTCTCCCAACAGGATCATGAACTCCCGCATGGCGTCCGCCACCTCGCGAAGGGACCGCTTCGACGTAGCCGATCCGTCTCCAAGCGTCTCTTGGGCGACGTCGATCACGTTCTGAAGTTCGCGCTGGATATCGCTCAGGCGGGACGTAGAGGGATCGGTCCGCTGCCACTCCACTCTTTCACGTATGGCCACGAGCTCGCGCCGGAAGCCCTGTGCCTCGGCGACCTTCTCGTGAAGCGTGTTCTGCAGTTCGTTGATGCTCGCGAACACAGGTCGGAGCTCGTCGACCGAGGAGATGACCTCCTGCACACCGATGTAAATCGAGAGACCCAGGACGTCGATAGCGGTAAGCGTTGCTGAGAGGACGGGTGCGAACGGTAACGACGCGATCGCCTTGTATAAAAACATATCAGCTCGTTCAGGATCAGGACAGCGTTAGATGAGAGGGCAGACGCACCGCCGCGCGAACAGTCATATGCACGGCTTTCCGCCTGATGTGATCTGCTTCTTGTTTGAGGAACTTCGCGTTCGCTTCGGCCAGGGGCTGCGCTTCGACCATCGCGTGTTCGAGCGTTTCCTCGTAGGTGCGCAGGGTTTCATCGCGATGCGCGAGGCACTTCAAGTGCTGCTCAAAGGTGTGCTTGCACTGCGGCTTGGGGAGGAGATATCCGGGCGCGTTGTGAACGGTGATCATAGCGACTGCGAGTATCTAGTGTGCCGTCCCGCCCGTATGAGTCTCAGTGCACGATACGGAAATTTGTAGCAATGCATGTTGAGAAACTCACAGTAGGCACGGTTGTGGCGACCGCCTTGATCGCGACGGCGGTGGTCGAGGCATCCCCTGATTGGCGGGACCGGTGGGCTCGGATGAGTTGGACGACCTGGTTGAGCATATCGCAGGTCTTCCCAAGAGGCTTCCACACCTCCGGGAGGACCTGATCGAGAGGCTGAGGCGGCACAAGACCTGATTTCGGATGAGGCCCTGGTGGGGCGTGGTTAATCAGGATTAGGTTGTTATGAGACTGGGCCTTACAGCAAGTACAATCGATGATGGTGCCTTCCGCTGGCGCCTCTGGCTCTGCGGCTGCTTCTCGAGGTTCATCTGGCTCAACCGCGTCAATCCCTGGCAGCGCCACGGCTCCGGCCGGTTCGGGGATAGCCACTGGGTCTGGTGCAATATCCATACTACGACGAAAAGCTGCTCTGTACTGTGAGGAGTGCGTATCGAGCGTTACCTTGCACGCTTAGTGGTGTGAGAGAACTTGAAGCAGTGGTCGATGGTGGTGGACCGTGAGCAAGCGTGGCATCGCGGACTGATCAAAACACACGTGGCCAAGATGTTTCGGGCGCTCGCTCGATTTGGGAACTTCTGCAAGTTCGTGAACCTTCGGTCTGCGATACCATCCAAGGTTCGAAGTTCAAGTCAGGAATTAAGGAGCGACGTACACAGATAATAGTACGGAGTGTCGGAGGTAAACAAGATGAAGGAGTGTGATGTACCTATTCGACGAGGCGGCGTCAACGAGATTATACCTTAGAAGCTTACAACGACTAGCGGACGCACCTGATATGCCAAAGGAAACTCGAGGGTATGGGGATAGTTTGTGTGCAACTCATGCGAAAAAGCAAACAGACACAGCAGCATGAAAAGCGAAACGATAGCGGGGAACGACGAGGAGGGGCGTGTGAAGTATCAGAGTCCGACGGAAGCCGGCAACGCTGCCTTCAGTTCCGTCACGGTATCGTCCAGACCACTCCAATCAGAGTCGTCAACTTCGACGAGGGTCGCAGTGCCCTCGGGCCGCTCTCCAAGGGCATCCAAGACCTCGTGCAATGCCGACGCAAGCGCCCGCATGGAGGCTCCCGGGACCGCTTTCGCCTCCTTGCTATTCGGCGCGCTGAACACGGCCTCCGCAAGCTCCTTCGCAGCCTGCATCGTGTGTAGCATCGCAGCCAAGCGGGACGCGGCGGGGTCCCCGCGCTGCGCCTCAACCTGCGCGCGGATCTCGACGAGCTCGCGCCGGAGCTTCTGCACGACAGCGATCTTGTCGTTCATCTCCGCCCGGAGGGCCTCGACGCTCGCGGAGGTGGAATGCAGCTCGTCCTCGGACACGAGGAGCTGTTGGACCCCGACAATGACCGCGAGGACGATGTTGTCGGCTGCTGTGAGTGCTGCGGAGAGGATGGGGGCAAAGGGCAGGGTGAGGATGGCCTGAATGGCGCCACAGACGTGCATCAGTACTTGAGCACAGTAGCAGTATGAGTAACATACCGCCGTTCGCACAAACATATGCCTGGCTCGCTGTCTGCTCATCTTCCGCTCGACCGCGAGGAACTTCTCGCGAGCCTCGAAGAGGGGCTGTGCCTCATGCATGGTCCGCGTGATGTTCTCCTCGACGGTCCGCAGCGTGTCGTCCCGCCGCGAGAGGTTGGACAGGTGCCGCTCGAAGCTGTTCTTGCACTGCGGTTTCGGGAACATATAGCCCGGTGTCTGTGTGATCAGCTTCATCCCTTGTTTCAGAGACTAGAATTCCGCGTTAGCCCGACGTGTATGGTCTGTAACTAAAGCAGTTCAGAAACGACTCACGCCGGCCACAGCGGCGCCCTCGGCCAACATGTAAATGGCTGCCGAGAAGGGTGCGTCCGGTGATGGGTTGACCCGGCGGGTGCGGAGGTGTTCAACAACACGGTTGAACGCCTTGATGGCCTCGTCTACATTCCGCCACACTTCGGGGAGGACCTCGTCCAGCGGCGGGGGAGGGCCTTGGCTTTCCTTTGGCACATGTGGCCCTGGAGATTCGAGAGGGTAAGCGAGCTAAGACCTGAGCGCCACAACGTATACGCTCACAACAGAGGCAGTCAGCTTCAGTACTGGTACTGTCATCGTTCTCTGTGGGATCTGCATGAGGTTCTTCAACGACTGCCGCTGCCTCTGCTGGATGATCCTCGGCGGGAGCGGCTTCGGCAATTTGAACCGGCTCGTTTTGGGGTAAATTGGTGCCCCCTGGGTTATCCATGCTGTGGTGTGAGTGTACTTGTAATGTCTACTGTTCCGAACGCCCGCCGCTCCAGTACTTGCCACCGCTACGCCAAACGAAAGTCGAAGAGGTAATGAACGGCGGCCCGGAGTGGGAGGTGGTGGTGATGGGGAAGTCCTTGAAGTTGAGTTGATCGCTCGCGTGGCCTCAACGTGGCCGTATTTACGGGCGCTTAGCTCCATCAACTGACCGCGACGACCCCTTCTTTTTTCGGTATGTTTACGGTCCATAGACGCCCGCGCTACAGTCCAAGCGCCGAATATAGTAATTTGTCACATGTCTTATTTGCGGACCTCGGACACCGCCGCGCGGCGCTGTGCCATCACTCGTTTGCGCCCTCCTCGTACAGCCGACCGCGGGCGTCCCGTTGGACTGTAAACCCGTTGGACCGTAAACGCGACCCCCCCGCACGATTTCGGGCATCATTTTGGCTGGACGCTGCGCCAAAAAACGAGCCCATCGCAGCTAGCTGCGACCCGGGACGTTTACAGTCCCATCGTGGGAAATTCACAGTCCACCGGCCCTCCGCGCTCCCTCCTCGCCTCCCTCTCTTCCGCGCACTCGCGCGGGCCTATGCTTGCCGACGGCGGGGCTGTAGAGCGTGCGCGCACCATTGCGCGACCTTTTCGCGGCCTCTAAAGCACATATATCCGAGTTATTAGCTTCGTTTTCAGAGTTCTGAGAGAAATGTTATGAGAACTTTCCCTTTGAGCTCAACTTGGGCTCAAAATTTTCTATACTTTCACACAAAATATCACCAATCTTAATTATGGTCTCTTCCACACCATACATTAATTAAACACACAAAGAGCACCGAACAGATGGGTATAGTAGACTTGCGCTTTCGCGCGCGTGGGCGCCTATTTCGCCGACTCCGGGGTGCGCGCGCGGGCGTTTGTGGACCGTATATTTGGCTTACATCAGCTCGCTTGGGACCGTAAACGAGCTGGTGCGCAACTCTGCTTCGACCGCGTCCACCACGGGAGCTCTCCACCCGATTGCTGACGACTTTGGGTACACATAAATTGTGGCTAGACTCCTACGAGTGACAACTAGGAACTGCTAGCCAGTGCGAGCGCTAGTGGACGGACATATCGGACATCACAACTGGAAATATCGACAGAACAAACCGCCGAAGTGCACCCCAGCCGATTCGAAGCGTCCACGAAGCTCTGACGACATCGAACATCCTTGTTTCACCGCGGTACGTACCTGAGGGTCACTGGACGCCGCCGCCCACCACCCGACCGCCATACGACACACCCCCGGGCCGTCGTCGATCAGCTCGTGACCACCCGATGGTGCATAAAGAACGACGGCAGCGAGGTGGCGAGAGCTGCACTCCTGAGTCGTCTCGGACACTGGACGGGCAGCATGCGCGCATCACTGAGCTTGTTGACGATCGCGCTGGGGTGTTGGGCGTCGTGCGCCAGCGCTGCGGCGGCCTCTAAGGAGAAGGTCTGCTCCTTGCGGCCCCTTGGCCATGGGAGGGACGACACTGATCAGGTATGTCCAGTAAACTTACCTGTGTTGACACATCGCTGATTGGTGACGCGTCTATAGGTTGAAGCCGCCATCGCGAAATGCGGACATTTCGGAACGACCGTGTTCGCACCGGGGCAGTATAACATCACTAGGTACACGTCGGACTGTGCGTACCCGTGTGTGGTCGCGGCTAATCATCGGACGACAGGAAAATGACCTGGGACCTCGTCTCGTCCCGCGTCGACCTGCACGGCTCCCTAAACGTAAGCCCGCCCTCCTACTCACCTACCCACCAACCCCCTCACCCGACCTGCAGTTCAAACCCGACATCGCGTACTGGCTCGACCCGGCCAACACCTACCGCGTGATCTTCATCCAGTCCCAGGCGTCCTGGTTCGTGCTCACCGGGCGCGACTTCACCGTCGACGCGCACAACGCTGGGGGCATCGCGGGCAACGGCCAGGCGTGGTGGTCGTTCTTCGCGAACCGCACGCGCGCGGACGGTGACGGGCGCCCCGTCGCGCTCACCCTGTCCAACGTCACCAGGGGCGTGGTGAGGGACTTCCGCGTTGAGGGGCAGCCGTTCTGGTGCAATGCGGTCGCGGATAGCAGCGAGGTGGTGTATGATGGGATGTACTGCAATGCGACGAATGCGGATCCGGTGTGGGCGGGGCAGAAGTGAGTGGTTGGATGTGTGTGGAGTGGGGTGTGTGCTGACGGTTTTACAGCATCGTTCCTAACACGGATGGTGAGTTCGCTCGAGTCTGTTCACGCGGTGGTATTCCTGCTAACTGCCCCTTTTAGGTATCAACACATACCGTTCCGACAAGATTTCCCTCCTGCGCTTCGATGTTGGTCCTACCCGCGCTTTGCTGTCCGCGCTATTTCTCATCACGCTTCCAGATCACTAGCGGCGACGATTGTTTAGCCATCAAAGGGGTATGTGCACTTACATCCATTTTTACAGTCATCTCGAGACTTATTATGTTCTCGATAACAGAACTCGACGAACATCTTCGCGAAGGACATTACCTGCCGCGGAGGGAACGGGATCGCCATCGGCTCGCTCGGCCAGTACGCCGGCCTCGTGCGTCCCCTCTTCCCTCTCCAGCCCCCCGCACGTCCCTCACACTCTGCCCCTCCAGCCCGATATCGTCGACAATTTGGTGATGGAAGACCTCAAGGTACGCCCGCAACGCTCCCTTCCCCGAGATCGCACAAAGACAGCTTACTCTACACACGTAGTTGATCCGCCTAGACCCACAAGTACAGCCGAACATGGTCTCGGGCGTATACCTCAAAACGTGGACGGGCTCCGTGCACGGCGCGCCGCCCACCGGAGGCGGAGGTGGCGGCGGTGCGTACACGCCTCCTCTGTGTTCTCTCGACCCCCATAGCTGACTCTGACGCGCGCGGTAGGATTCGTGTCGAACGTGGTCGCGAAGGGCGTGTCGGTCGACCGCGTCACGGTCCCGATCCACCTCTATCAGACGAACGGCGGCGGCTCGTACGTCCTTTCGCGTGCTCTTTGTGCGGGATGGTCACTGATGATTTGGTTAGGGGCGACACGCCGTCGAGTCTGCAGTTCAGCAACCTGACGTTCAGCGACTGGACGGGCACCTCTTTGCGCAACACCAGTACGTCTCGCATTCTCCCATCCTCTTCTCTATGGACCCACTGAGCGCTCACGGTGGTGTCTCCTCACTGGCAGTCGTGGACGTGGAGTGCAGCCCGGCGGTGCCGTGCCCAAACATCCGCTTCGAGAACGTGAACATCGCCCCGCCGAACGGCACCGCGGCGAGCTTCAAGTGCATCAATGTTGCGAGCGAGTTCGGGCTGCCTGGTACGTCCCTCACCATGCACTTTGATTCTTGACGCACGTTGCTGACGAGTTGATGCGTGTAGCGTGCAATGCCACTGGTGCGGCCTAAGCGCCGCCTAGGGACCCCTCTGCATGGGGGTAACTAGTATGGAGAAGGGCGTAGTTGTATCTAAAACCATCCTGAGGCGTATTGCCTCAGCACATCATATGCGTACAGGCGCGATTAAGCTGCTTCTTCCTCGTCGCCGTTCTCGGCCTGTTCGTCGCCTTCGTCGTCCTCGCCCGGCGCCTGCTGTACCCCGGTGTCGATAGTCCCCACAGCGGGGAACCACCCATACTGTCGCATGTTGACCTTCATGTCGCCCGAGCGCGTGACCTCGACGTCGACGCCCTCGGCGACGAGCGCGTCGCGCTGGCGCGCGGCGCCGTCCGTGCCGGGGCCGCGCGAGGAAATGGTGCCGGCGGAGGAGATGACGCGGTACCACGGGATGGGCGGGACGACGTCTGGGGAGAGGAACCGCAGGGCTGCGAGGGGGCCGACGGTGTCAGCGTGCATGCTAAAGACATGGGGGCGGGCAGAGGAAAGACCTTGGCCGACGTGGCGGGAGTAGTTCGGCATGCCCACGAGCTTTGCGATGTGTCCTGAAAGTTCGAAAGATGGTCAATACCACATGTTGCTTCGGTTAGCAGGATGCTTGCCGTATGAGGTGACCTTTTGAGGGGGGATTTGGCGGACGACATGATACACCTAGCGGCATTGCGATCGTCAGCGAGCACGGCTCTACGAGGGCTGGGGCGAATGCGTACAGCAGCGTGAAACGCGTCCCCGTCCATCGCGTACACCGGAACGCACTTGGCGGCGACTTCACGCTCGTCGCGGTCGACGACTGAGAGGAGTCACCTCGGGCGTGCGCGGACGCGGAGGCGAGGCGTACGGTAACGACCACGTGCGCCGTGACCGGACGCGTCTACGTGGGAGTTTTCGCAGAGGCGCCGAGAAGCGTGTGCTTGGAAGTGCTCTGCCATGATGCATGATGCATGATGCATCATGGGCTACCTGCCTTGCAACGACAGGTTTGCACGACAGGTCCGGTACGTTGAGCGAGGCATGTAGCCATCTCTTGGGACGTCGAGGCCGCTGACATATGCACGTCAAGGCCTCCGATAGCGCTGACTAGAGTACATTCACCATTTGGTGCAATACTGCGTCCTTACTGATCGTCGGCCTCTCTCGCGCCTATAGGGAATCCTGGCACCAAATTTGCAATGTGGCGGCGTAGAGGCGTCTTATCAACAGCCAGGCTACAGGTCCAAATCGACACCCAGGAGACGAACTCTGACTTAGCAGAGACCGTTGTATACCCGGAACGCCGCGTCAGCCTCATGTCCGTACGTCCACCAAGATGTCCAAGCTGTCATCCCCAGCATAAGCCTACTTCCTTGCGGCAGGCGATGGAACATATAACTGCCGCTCCTTCCGAACATCGCCGCCCCCATTCGATAGACTGCTCAATCGCCTCGACATGGTGCGATTCAAGCAGCCATACCCCCTCATCGCCGCGTTTGTGTACATCCCTAGCGTCGCCACGATGGTACGCCCCCACGCTCACTTCAAGCACCACCCCTCCAACGCTTAGCGCTTATCGTCTTAAAAGGCGTCGACGATTCCGACTCCCTTGCGCTCGTCGCCGAGGCGCCTCTGCTTCCCCGTGCCCTAGGTGTTCCGGACGCCGCGGTGCGCCCTGCATCGTCTATCTGCCTCGCTATATCCGCCTGCTGTTACGGTTGACGCTACGCGCATATGTGGTGCTGCACATCGCAATTGCACTCGATGCAGAAGGCCATACAACATGTTAACACCATATCACTACAGCCGTCTTCCGGCAGCTCACAGGTTCCTCTCTTCGGGTGTATATGTGGTAACACCTGCCATGGTACCGTACCGCTGGCATGTCTTCGAGCACCTGTTGCCTGGGTGATTTACTACGGATGGCTCTGTCCACCAGCCTGACCCTCTCATTACACAGGACATCGAGCTGTGAGCCACGCGCTCAGGAGATCTGCAAGCCGATCGTGTGGAATGTGTCGGTGGGCAACCACCCGGGCCGATGTGCATGTGAGTGCCGCTAGTCGCATCTATGACACGGAATGCCTACTTACTGCGAGTTCATGACGCAGCCCGAGTGACGGTCCTGGCACGTCTGCCTTCCCCAACTGCTACTACTGGAACGGAGTCTTGCTCCCTTCCGGATATTTGGCTCGAAGCTGCGTCCTATCTCGGGTCGTCCTCAGGCTATGGTACGAAGGGACGCAGCGTGAGACAATTAGTAGGCACTCATGCGCGTGACCTTCCGCCTGTTGTGTCATAGGAAGAACATGCCGATATCGACGCCGATCCCGATACCTCTGGGTTTTCCGCGGCGTTTGAGATCGAAGGCCATCTGCCGCCGCTGCGCAGCGGCGCATGTAGGTAAGAACGAGAAAGAGCCACCGGCGATTTGATGAGCGGTATAGGAGCGTTAGCGGAGGGTTCGGGAACCGGCGTCGATGTTGACGGACGGCGTCGTCCGTCCTGCATGGCAGCGTACGTTTGTGAGTGAACTTTTTTTGCCTTCCACTCGAGCGAAGCCTGAGAAGGAACAGACCGAGTCTCCGTGCGAAACGCAAGTGCTACTGCTACGTGGACGTAGCACCGGCCTCGAGCCTCCTCAAGTACGGTACGTGAAGCAGTCGTAATCAACGCAGTACGCTTCTGACCACGCGGCGCGCATAGGCAACTTGCGCTCGCATGAAGAACCCTCGCTTGGCACACCGCCACGAGATCTACACACCGTCGTCCCAACACCGCATGCCATTGATTCGGCATGTACGCGACGGGGATCGACGGGTCGCTTCGGGCTGTGATGTCCGCCCCTGGTACTCTGCCCGGCGATCTTGGTATCCAGCGTACGTTCATATTCTGCCATGGGTGGGGGTCGGAGCGTATAAAAGCCCCCCTCGAACGCTACCTAAGGAGCATCCCCACTTCCCATCTCATCTCCTCTCAGAGCTACTCTACTTTTCTCAGACTCAAATTTCATGATGCGCTTCTCTCTCTCCCTCACCTCCGTCCTCGCCATGACCGCAGCGGTGCTCGCCGCCGACCCGCTCGTCGTCAACACCCCGTACGTTTGTCTGCCCCTGCCGGACATCTGCGGACGCTGATGCGACCTTTCAGGACCTCCGCGCCGCAGTGTGGAGACACCATTGGCACGTGGACTGGGGGCACTCGTAAGTCGGGCATAGCACCAGCTCGCGGGAGGACGCTTGATGACTGACTGTGTTCTCCATCTAGCCCCCTTCACCTTGGTATGCACCCGCTTTCCTATCCGCACCCCTCATTTATAACTAACCTTACACCATCAACGCTCCACGAATCTCAGGCGTGAGTCCCCTCCCATTGCCCCCGTTTTTGCGCCCGCCCCGTCTGATAGCGTCCCTGCGTACAGCATGAACCACGACAACGGCTTCAAGGAAGGCCTGGTGCCCGGCCCGGGCGACCACGCGGGCACCTGGCACACGAACCTGCCCGCGGGCACGACCGTGTTCTTCTCGGTGACGGACGGCGCGGGCGTGTTTGGCCGGTCTGCGGACTTTGTCGTCCAGCCGAGCGGTGCGTCTTGTTTTTGTGGATTGTGGAGTATGTACTGACGTCGGTGTTGATTATGTGCGAGTAGCGGACAGCTCCTGCCTGTGAGCGGCCATGGGTGACACGTGCTCACGCGAACGCACGACGATATTTTGGCTGCTGCGTATTAGGAAGGTTCTTGGGGTGTCTTATTGGGCGTGCATCATCGTGCTATGGTCGCTTAATCGTATGTTTTGTCCGCCCCTTCTTCCAGAATGGCGCAAGTAGGCAATGCAACTACATGTCTTCATCATTTATACGAATCCGTCCTTTCACGAATGAATTGGAGATTTTCAGTCATCGGCTAGGATTGATAAAGGGGCGTAAGGGTTGATTAATGATTAAGTATGGGCTGGTGAGATGGTCTTGGAGACCTGCCAAATGTGGACACTCGGATAATGCCGAACACCGCTCCAGCCACCTTGTAAGGGACGTCGTCGCGTCGATAAACTTGTTCAGCAACCACGTCCTCAGCCTCCTTCCGTTACGATGAACACCCCTCAGACACTTTCCCCTGCCATTCTCTGGCCGATCTGCACGCGAAATTGGTACTCGCATCCGTAGGGTATTACGGTGGGCCCTCGAGTCAGGAGACTCCGACGGTTCTTCGGACGTCAGTACATGTCAGTCCCAGGTCGCCGGTTCTTATGTCGCCGCCCCGGTCGGTTTTTCGCATGAATGCCATCCTGTCCCGTCGAGGGTCGGAGCAATCTTCGTCGTGTTTCATTCGAACCGCAGGTCGAGTTTCAGGTGCTGATCTCATATCGTCTTGACGTGAGATATCGCTGACTGCTTCTTAGGTTCTCAGTTCATTTCAGTTCTTTAGATTGATGAGCGGTCCGTGGCGTACCTCATACGCCAGTTTGAATATCTTCCACAGCTGCCACCGTGCAAGGGACGCTCCCTCTTAGTCACGATCTTCGACGCCTTCTGCCCGAACCACGATGGAGGCCGGCCACTGCTGCGTTCGTGTGATCCCTCGTCGCGACAGCGAACCCTAGGAAGTGTCCAAAACCCTCCGATAATCTCCTTTAAATAAGAGCGACTGTGAAACGCGTGTAACGACAGTTGGGTCTGCCTCAACTCGCCATGAAGCTCTCTCCCGCTTTCTTCATCGCCTTCCTAGTTGGCAGAGCGTATGGCAAGCCGACAGCTCGCGCCATGCGAATTCACGAGGCCCGAGATGACATTCCGTCCTCCTTCTTGGAGATTGGCCTCGCCCCGCCCGACACGGTGCTCAACCTGCGCCTCGCCCTCGTGCAGGGCAACTTCCCCGCACTCGAGCAGGCCCTAATGGACGTCAGCACCCCCGGCAGCCCCCTGTATGGCCAGCATCTGAGCAAAGAGGAGGTATGTTTCGGGACATTTTTGTGTCTCGCATGATCGCTCACCTCTTTCGCAGGTGGAGGCACTTGTCGCCCCAAAGCCAGAGACCATAGCAGCGGTCAACACCTGGCTGACGGAGAATGGCATCGAGGCCTCCACAGTGTCCCCTGCGGGCGACTGGCTCCAGTTCGCCATCCCGGTCAGCAAGGCGAACGAGCTGCTCGGGGCCACGTTCTCCGTGTTCAACCATACCCCGTCCGGCCGGACGGTCATCCGCACCCTTGCCTACTCCATCCCTGCAGACCTGAAGGGCCACGTCGACCTGGTTCATCCTACTACCAGGTGCGTCCCGTAGTTGCATGCCCGATGTGGCTGTTGATCCCACAGCCGGACAACCACAGCTTTACTCCGCCACTCCACGTTCCGAAGCTCACGTTCATTCCTCGCGAAGAGATAGAGGAGCGGGAACTGAACGTCTCCGCGTCGTGCCAGTCAGCAATCACGCCGGCTTGTCTGCAGGCGCTGTATGCGATTCCGAGCGCACCCGCGAATGTGAGTTCGAACACGCTTGGGATGAGCGGATTCGACGAGCAGTTTGCCAATGAGCAAGACCTCGGTGTGAGTGAGTTATAGTCGCAGCTCTATCAACGCACGCTGAGTACCTTCAATTATCACAGATATTCTTGGAGACCTTTCGCCCGGATATACCTCCGTCGACAACGTTCAACTTGCTCACCTTTGATGGTGGCGAGAACCCTCAGAACCGGCCCGGGATCCTTGCGGTGAGCCCACCGAGCCTCAGAGCGGGAATGGTATTGTGAGAATTAAGTGAGCGCAGGATCTGGATGTACAATACGCCATCGGCCTTGCCACAAACGTCCCGACCTTCTTCGCCTCGGTAGGGCCCAATAATACTGACGGCGCCGACTTTGGGCTCCTAGACCTCATCAATGCTACGCTGGTCTGCAGCACGCCGCCGCACGTAATTGTAACGACCTCCGGCGAAGACGAGAACGCGCTCTCGGCGAACCTGCAGACGTGCGCCTGCCCCTGTCCGTGCCTGCACCTGTGCTTCCCTGTCCATTGACCTCTGCCTGCTCCAGGAACCTATGTAACGCGTACGCGCAGCTTGGCGCGCGCGGTATTTCTATCCTGTTCGCCTCTGGGGACGGCGGCGTGGCAGGCAGCCAGGCCCAAAATTGCACCACCTTCCTCCCCACCTTCCCTTCCAACTGCCCCTTGTAAGCCCCCTTGTTCCCCCGCACTTTATTCCTAGGGACATGCTCACCGCCCGGACGCGGCACAGCGTGACATCCGTCGGGGCGACCACCGGCGTCGAGCCCGAGGTCGCCGCGAACTTCTCCAGCGGCGGTTTCTCGAATATCTTCGCGCAGCCATCATACCAAGCCGCCGCCGTGTCCCGGTACCTTTCCGAGCTCGGGAACAGGAACGCGGGACACTTCAACCGGAGCGGGCGTGCGTACCCGGACCTTTGCCGGACCTCGCCGCGCAGGGCGACAACGTGGAGATCGTGTTCGCGGGCCAGCGCGGGCAAGTCGCGGGCACGGAATGCTCCGCCCCCATTGTAGCTAGCGTCATCGCGCTGCTGAACGACCTGTTCGCGCAGCAGGGCCGGACGCCGCTCGGCTTCTTGAACCCGCTCTTGTACTCGCTGCAGGGCACGGATGCGTTCACGGACATCACGAACGGGAGTAACCCCGGGTGCGGCACGAATGGCTTTCCTGCGCTTGAGGGGTGGGATGCGGTGAGTCACAGCGGTTAGAGATAATGGGTAGTGCAGTGGACGGGCTGCTGACGGGCTTGTTGGGTTGCAGGTCACTGGGCTGGGCACGCCGAACTTCACAGCGCTCAGTCTGGCCATCGGTGTATGAGGGTGATTACAAGGCATACTACTAGCAACCCTACCTAGGCAGACATGTTTTGAAGGGAAACGAATATCCGCCCAGCCTCGATCGGATGTCGATGAACGAAAATTGTATGCGACAGCGATATCAACGTCGAACGATGACACGGATTGTATGGCCTTGCCTATAGTCAATTGAACTTCTTGTACTGTATATGACTGCAGTAAGTAGAAGAAATAAAATGCTGACCGCCACGAAATTGCACTTCCCACTAGCCGACTTGAACGACTGACCTCGTCATTAAACGACTGCATCGTACTAGTGACGCGCTCTACCAGCTGAGCTAAGCGGGAGTCGTATACATATTCCCGCGTTTTATTATGAAGTTGGCAGTATTTCGTTCCACCTCAGTCTGCCACGTAACACCAGAAAGAGCACCACTGACAACATAGCTATGTACGTACGCCTACACAGTGAGGATCCTGAACGGGTCTGAGCCGCCACCCTCGAGGCCTGCAAGCACGGCCTGGCGCACCGCGCCGAGGTAGTCGCCCAGCCGCCGCCCGACCTGGCTCGAGAAATCGTCGTACAGCCGGTATCGCGAGTCCGCGACGACGTTGACGAGCGAGAGCGCATGCTTGAGGTTTCTGCCGGGATAGCGCGACGTCAGTATATGGAGAGTGGTGTAAATGGCGGGAGGACGGATGGTAGGTGGAGGTATAGATGCGGAATACGTACTCTGGCAGTCTGCTGCGCGAGTTGACGAGCGTCGCGTGGAGGCGGACGATGAGCTCCGGGATGTAGATCTGGCGGATGCGGACGAGGTCGCGGGCGCGCTTCGCAGCTGTGTAAATATTACAGTCAGCGTCATCCTATGCCGATAGAGGGTTCACACCTCGAGTAAATGCTTACCATTTGCGCGCGAATCTGCATCGGAGACAAGCCACTCCGTTGTGAGCAGCTTCACGACCTGTTCGTGTGCCTGCTCGATCAACGTCTGCAACTCCCAAAGAAACGCAGTTAGGCACAGGCGTCGATGACAGGGGGCGTGTCAGAGGGGATGCGCACCTTGTAGTCGCTTAGCCACGCGGCGCGCGTGTCCTTGTTCATCTGCGGCTGCTCGAGCGCCTCGCACTCAGTGACGCGGGCGAGCGCGTCCCACACACCGAAGAACTGGCGGTAGTGCATGTACTCCGTCGCTTCTTCTTCGGGCTCGCGAAGCGTGCCTAGCTCTGGGGGGAGCATGTCTAGAAGGCTTCGTGCTACCTGTACACGGCCGTGGCCTGAGGATCATGGATGCGTTAGGCACGTTATATGTATAAGGCGGAAAGGCAGGTAGCATACCGAGGAAGTAGCGCAGGATAACATTCGTCTGCTCGAGCGCAGTGTCGTACGTGGTCTCGAGGAACGTCGTCCACTCGATAGACCGCACGAGCAACCACTCTGGGTCAGTCGGTGGAGGTTCCATCCCGCTGATATACGGCAATGGACCCTTGGTTGGTGCAAGGATCTGATCATGTTGAAACCTTCAGCATGACGCGGAACTACGACGGGAGGGAAAGACGCACAGTGAACGCCTTCTCAATCGTCCTCTCCGCAGTGACGATAGCGACACGCTCGATGTCAAGCCCGTGCTCCCGCGCACGCGTGAGCGCGAGCCGGCGCTCGTTGATGTCCGCAGAAAGCTCGAGGGACGTGAGGAAAAGCGCGTACCGCTCAACCGCATTGTCGCCCAGTGCTCCCGCGTACATGGCAATAAGCTCACGCTGCCCTGCTGCCTAAACAGACCCAGGCATCAGAGTTCAGTGTCGCGAAAGTTATACGAAGGGGACGAACCTCGAGTACTTGCAGATACGCCTCGAGGATGATTTGTGCTGCGAATGGTGAAACAGGCATGTCGATCATCTGGAGGAACAAGCATAGATGCGCGAAGAAACGCGTCATTGTCGTGTACCTGTGGTCTCGTCAGCATGTGAGAACGGACATATGTCCACTCGACTTACTCAGGGGATGAGACGTAGGTGCCTTCTTGAAGCCCGCCCGCGAAGGCCTCGAGCAGTGCATCAGTCCGGTCGAGGATGATATGTAGCTGCGAAACATGGTACGGGTTGTCCGCGGGTGCGCTGCACCGTCTATATTAGCTTCGCTATTCATGTGAGTGGAGTGATGCGCCTACCCTTCGGCAGTCTGCACGTTGGCCAGCGACTCGAGTGCCTGCATGACCTCGTGCTCCCACTCTTCATCGACGTCCTCCTCTGCACCCTCTGTCGCAAGGGCCGCGGCGCCAGTCTCAAGCGCGCCGAGCCCGTTCTCCCAGAAGCACTCGCGCTCGATCGCGGACAACCCAACGCTCAAACGCTCCTCACACGAGAGACTGACGAGCGCCCATAGGTGGTCCTCCCACGTCCGCGCGACCGCCTTGAGCGATGTTGAAGTCTGGGTAGTGGGCGCAAGGGCTGCATACAACGCCCGTTCTGTCGGAGACAGGGCGTTCTGGAAATGACGTCTATTAGCGGGTTTGTGCGAATGCTGCAAGAGAGGCGCATACGCTTAGCGCTGCTTGTGAGCATATCTTCTTCCATAATCGCCTGCGGACGTTGCCGTGCCATTGCTGAGCCTCCTCCGTGTCCTCGTCGTCCATCGCGTTCGCTTCGCGAGGCTCGTTCGCTATCAAAAGACATTCGGTTAGCTCTTGGATTCCGGATACAGAATTTGGCAAGCACGTACCGATAGCACGCCATTGAAAGAGCAGGGCACCGCGGATGCTAGCCGCCCGCCATGGTTGGTTTGCTTTCCGACAAAGCTCCACGGCCTCTTCGAGTTGGCCTGCGCGGACGTGGGCATATAGTGCTTGAATGACGGCTTTCTCGTACGCCTGAGGAGCGAAGGTCAGCACCGAATGTCGGATGGTGATGTACATGGCGGCAAGACATCATATGGACGGCCGAGATATAGCGTGAGGAAACGCGTATTGGACGCGCATGTTGTGGCTTCTGCCAGGAGAGGTATGGATACAGTACTCACCGCATCATCGGGCGCAAGTCCCTTCTCGTCCACTTCATCCCTGTTCACCGCGTCCGGATCGAGCTCCTCAACCAACCCCGCGCCCGTTTTGCCCGTGCGCTTCCCTTGCAGGACCGCGTTTCGCGTAAACCGCCAATAGCCGTTAGTAGCGCCGGGGTCAAGACTGGCCGGGGAGGGTGCGGAGTCGTGCAGCCATTCGCGCACGACAACGAGTTCGGAGAGGAGGGGGGAGGAGTGCATGATAGACTGGGCGAGCGTGGCGGGTGGCGTATATGGGTTCGTGGCGAGCAGTTCGCGCGGATGGGGGAATTCTGGGGGCGTCGTTTTTCGTAGGCTGCGGATTGTTAGTTCGAGGTTAGTTCAGTCATAGGAATATCACGCACGACATGAGGGATTGTAGCAGCGCCCATGTGTCGCTCTCCATCTTCAGGGCTTCGAGTGCAGGTATTGAGACCGAACTGTCCACGCCGGCTGCGTCCTGCAACTCTGCTAGTCTGCAAACGGGCTAAGCACGTTCCACACAGATATTTCGCGCTTATACATACTGCTGCTCGCATATTTCACGGAGCCTCGGCGCGAAGCCGGACTCGGGGTGGAGAAGAGCCTCGAGGTCATCCTTGTTCGCCTGGCAGACAGAGAGGACCTCCGCACAGGACGCGTAAAGGCCATCAGACATAGTTTACAAGCTCCACAGGAAGATTCGACCCAGTGCAAGCGTCCAAGAGCGCGAGAGAGAGCAGCTAGAAGCCGAGCAGGACGGGGGATGGAGGGAGAGAAGGTTAACGAGGCAGGCGCCCGAAACGCGCGACGCGACTGTGGCTGGGCGCTTGTTCCTTAGACTCCCCATTTCTGAATTTCAAGCTCAAGGCGGATGCTCGAGATACATGAAGAAGTTTACACAGGTCAAGAACCCCACAACTTGAATATGATTCATTCTATAGGAACAGATAACGAAATACAGGAAATACAACTTTAGGCGGACTCTGCGGACGGCTTGACCTTCACGACCACTTCGAATGTGCGCTGCTCAGCGGGCCGTTCTTCCTCCAATGCACGTCTTACAACGTCCGCATACGTCGTCACCGCATCCTCCCTCTCGTGTTCCTCCACAGAAAGCTCTTGTAACGCGCGTGTCAGTGACTGCCAGGACTCCACCACCGGTCGACCGAGCAACTCCAGGGTAATCTTGACATGCGTGAGCTCGGGGTACGAGCCAGAGTTAAAGGACCTGAAGAGGGTTTCCCAGGCCTTTACGTCCGCTCGTGCATCCGACGGGACTCTCAGTACCAGTTCGAATGACCGGTGCGCCGTATAGAACCCTTCGCGCATTACATCGTGCTTAGCGCTCTGTTGGGATTCGGAGTCCGTGAGGAGCTTGGCTAGTAGCTCCAGGAAGACGTCGATCGTTTGGGAGGTGGTCAAGTCAGCCTCTAGGCTGCGCCAAGGATCGTAGCATAGACGAAGCGAGGGCCGGGAGAAGAGGTGTGGCATTGAGTCGAGGAACTCGTATGACGCCGTGTCCCACGTCACGTTCCCTGTGAGGAGAGCAATCAGCGGTGATTTTCGACGATATCTCACAGAGACAGGGACGTACCGCTAGCGCTAGTCTCAGCCAAACCGGTCGTCTGGCAAAGCGTGACCTCGATATCCTGCAGGCTGGCATTGTACGGACACAGCGCCTCCATCCACCGACGACGGCGTGTGAGGCTGTCGACACAGATGGAAACTGTATGAGGAGTCGCACCGTTCCATATGCCTCGGGCGTGATGTAGGAGATCCAACAACGCGTCAAACGGGTTAAACCCGTCTCCAACAGGCCCAACGTCGACGATGCGCAATATCTTCAGCCGCGTACAAAATGCGGCGGCCTCAGTCTCGCCTGGACCAACGTTGGGGGCCAGATGGTATCCGCCGGGGGTTGGGGGTTTCGGCGCAAGATTCACGCACGATAAATCTTCTAGCGCAGGAATGCGGCACAGGAAGCGCACGAAGCGCATGGAGGCCCCGACGAAAAGGTGTGACAGGGCGAGCGTACGGAGGTTCGGGAAGTGCTTGAAGTCAATCAGCGAGGGGAACGTCGCGCGCGGAGCCTCCCCATCGCCGACGGGCGGCCCGCGGATGTGGATGGAGTGGATGAGAGGGGTGAGGGAAGAGCTGGGGGAGAACGTGCTCAGGAAATCGAGGAGCTCTGTATGGGAGCCAGAGATCTGGAGGTCGATGGTGTGCGAGAGGTGAAACTTTGTGCAGGGGGCGAGCGGGGAGAAGGAGTCGCCGGGGCTGGCGGTGAGAACGCATGAGACAAGCGCGCGCCAGTCGTCGTGCAAGAAGTCGACAATGCGGTCGGTGAGCTCTGCTGGGAGGTGGGGACCCGCATGGAGCGGAACGACAGAATCCGGCATGGCTGGTGTAGCGGCGGGAGGATGCTTTGGAGCATTGCGTATGCTATCAGACAATATGATCAGTTATGTTCGACTCAGTGCAGACGGAACCGGCCAAACGCTCACAAGAGTTACGACATCGAAGAAGCAGATACTTATCATAAACCCGACGTGAGAGCTATGATAGCTACTACGTATCACGAGTCAATTATCAGTCCCAGGCAGTCGGTTGACACCATCTTCGAGGTGTCGGACGTGGGAGGACTTAAAGAGCGTCTAGAGGCGGCCCATAGGGAAGCACCTCGGCGAGGGAACATCACAAGGACGCACCGCGCAGCGGCAACTCTGCGCGACGCTGTACGAGGTGATGCACCATGCCGACGCAGCTTCCGGCTGTAGATACGTATTAATGCAGCAACCATGACGTGCCATCTCGAAGAACGACAGCCAAACTCAAAACTCCTTGGCTTGGCACGAGTTGCGGTGAGTATGATGCGCAGATTCAGATCGCCAGTTGCAAAGCGGAGTTTGTTTCAGCCACCAAGGCTCTGAAGCAGTATCCATAGTAGACTCGAGTCTCGTTACCAAGGTAAAATCCTCCCGCTTTTCATGTGGTAGGCATGATGTGGCCGAACACTTACTTGGGCGAAGTTGAAGCTTCGAGTGCGGTACTAGGATCCACTATGACGATCGATTTGTATAAAAATATTTCACTTCTACATGCAACTTGCAACTCGCAACTTTCGTGGGCGCCTAATGACCATATAAGGCAGGCGCCTTTTAAAATCCTTGAAAACACGGCCAGATCCCCCCGGCGAGTTGCAAGCTGTAAGTGAAAGTTGATAGTTGATAGTAAAACCTCGCCTAACTGAGGTCGGACTGAGGTCGTACTTAGGTCGCGCGCACTTTCACAATCAACTACCAACTGCCAACTTTCTAATCTTATCTACCGGGCGCTTCTTTTTTATCTCGCCCCAGATTAATCACGTTGGCATCTAATCAACCTGCCCCAGACTCAGACCTCTGGCACCCCTCCCTAGGTTCTGCCCCTCTCCACTGCAAAAGCAATATCTCAGCAACCATAGGTCCTATTGGCTTCATTCTTTTTGTGTATGATTACCTGAAGCAATTAGATTATGTCTGTGCAAACACTGTAATTAATAAATCATGTAATTCCGGTTATGAGGTTTTT